TGCACCCAGCCCCAGGTCCCCTGCACCCAGCCCCTGGTCCTCTGTACCCAGCCCCACCCACTGGTCCCCTGCACCCAGCCCCTACCACTGGTCCCCTGCACCCAGCCCCAGCCCCTGGTCCTCTACACCCAGCCCCACCCACTGGTCCCCTGCACCCAGCCCCAGCCACTGGCCCTCTGTTCTCTGTGCTCCAAACGCTTCAAGGGACCAAAGTTCGTTCGATTCCCGGCCACAGATAATATCAGAGGCGATTGCTATCCGAACCCGTCCTGGGCCTCCCCTGGATCGACTCAGCCTTAAATAATAAGACGTGCCTTGAGCGGCGTGTAAACATTCTGGTGACCCCCAGATCACTCTTGCAAATTACAACTCATCCTGGCCTCTTGAGTGCTCACCTGGTTAAACAAAATCAATTTGACAGTGGAAGAACGCCGGGTATGGTTCATGCCACACCACGCCCGCGGCTGTTGTATCGGCTTCAATAGGTGCTCGCTAACAACACTCGTGTCGGGAAAGCGTCCTACAGCTCGGAGTCCCCGTACTCAAGGCAACGACGGAGGCATTCAACAAAGTTCCCTTCCCGCGGGCCTCAAGGAGGAGCCGTACTCTGGCCCGCCAGGAAAAGCCGGTATCGCAAAGTGCGGACTGATATTACGCCTCTTGTATTATGTGGGTTGAGCGTTGCCCCCTTTCACGTGTGAGTTTTCTCCGGGTGTTCCGGTTTCCTACCGCTTGTATATATAAATACAAACGCAGTTGGCTAAACGCATCTTAATTTGTAGTGAACTGCAGAGCTTGGGCAATTGTTGGTAGCGCCGGCGCCTCGCCGCCTGGCTGCTTCTGCTGCCTTTCCACTCGTCTGCGGCTCCCTCTGCACGTGTGTGGAGCAATGGTTAACGACGATGATCGGGGTGAGATTGATGGAGGCACGAGTCCGCTAAACACCCCCCGAGCGGGCTACAACTCGACCCCCACGTGTCTGTTGTTGTTGTTGCTGCTCGAAGGGACGGCGATGACTCTGGTGAGAAGGAGGTGGTGGTGGTGGTGGGGGGGAAATGGGGCAGGAAGGGTAGAGAACTTCACGAGACGTCTCCCTCTCGGTGCTAGGGCAAACATTGACTCGCGTTTATTTTAGAGCGAGGCGTCTAGAAGCCCCGCGGTACGGCGAGAAGCAGCGGAAACTCGAGTCACTCAGAGAGAAAAAGTTACACCACTCCTCTGACTCTGCTGCGATGATGATATTCATTATCGCCATGTAGTTTATAATGATGATGATAATGTTCTTGATGATGATGTAGTTTATTATGATGATGTTGTGGGTAATGGTCGTGATGATCACAACGACGAGGTTGTTATTGACGATGACCGAGCTGAGGATGGATTTTACCACCCACGACGCACCGACTTGAACTCTCTCGCTCTCTCTCTCTCTCGGCGTCTCTCGCTGTCGGGAGGGACTCCCCCCACCCTCCACCCCGCCCCACCCGGGGCGTCGCGGCGCCAGGGGCTGAGTGATGCCCTCCGGGGGCCCCAAATAAACCCTCGGGGCCCCAAACGCGACCCCAAGGCGCGCATCCACTCCGAGGATGGGGGCTCTACACCAATGTTGTTAGTGGTGGTGGTAATGGATGGGGGCTCTACACCAGTGTTGTTAGTGGTGGTGGTAGTGGATGGGGCCTCTACACCAGTGTTGTTAGTGGTGGTGGTGGATGGGGGGGGGGGGGGCGAGCGGTGGGAGGGCCGGGGGGGGGGTCCTGAGACTCAGTGCGACTTTGCTGGATAAGTATAAGTTATTATTACTACGATGTTTTATTATTATGCAGTACTTTATTGCACGTCGGGCGCCACTGTGGCTAGGAGATGTTAACTACCTCGCCTGGTATACAGGAGGCCGTGGGTTCCATCCCGATCCAGACGCCTGCTGCTGTATATTTGGAGTTTGCGTGTCTATCTCACTCTCTCATCATCATCATCATCACCACGGTGGCTAGGAGATGTTAACTACCTCGCCTGGTATACAGGAGGCCGTGGGTTCCATCCCGATCCAGACGCCTGCTGCTGTATATTTGGAGTTTGCGTGTCTCTCTCACTCTCTCATCATCATCATCATCACCACGGTGGCTAGGAGATGTTAACTACCTCGCCTGGTATACAGGAGGCCGTGGGTTCCATCCCGACCCAGACGCCTGCTGCTGCTGTATATTTGGAGTTTGCGTGCCTCTCTCCCCGTGGTCGTGTGAATTTTTCTCCGGGCCCTCCGGTTTCTCCCTCCACATTTAGAAACAACATCACGCGTTCAGAGTATTTGGCTATTATAAATGTCCGTGTGATGAACCACTTCGTTGAGCGATCGTTTGTGATAGCCAGGTCGCTTCTGAGAAAGAGCTGCATCGCTCAGTGGGCCGTACCTGGCGAAATTAACATAGTGTTGCCTCCTTTTATTGACCGAAATTACCCGAAACGCGCCAACGTCTCGCTCGCTGCATCTCGGAAGCCAAGCCGGTTTGAGCCTGGATAGTGCTTGGATGGGTGTCTGCCACGCGCCACAGGTGGTATCGGCTGCGACGTGGCGTGCACAGCACGATGGCGGTGCAGTAAATCCCACTGTTGTGGAATTTGTGCTCCTGCGTATTACTTCGGCTTTGATCACCAGTTCGAGCGTGGGCTCGAGCGTGGGCTCGAGGCACAGGACTGCTGACTAGTCGAAGCAACGAGTCGCACGTGACGGTGAGGGCAATCGTCGTTTGACATTGGTCGCTCGTTTCCCACCGCTGTGTCCCACTGGGTAGATTGGCCTCACGCGGGCGCAACTTGCGGCCTCATCCTCCACGCGCTCTCCACGCGCTGCTCGCCCTCAATAGGCAGCGACGCGACACACGCCACACAATCACGAAATCCTGCACACACACACACACGCAATTCAATACAAGCACGCACAGACACATACTGCCAAACACACACACGCACGCACGCGGATATGAATGTCTGTACACAGATCACCCCACACGCACCAGACATGTGCACACATACAAATATAAACACGTAGGCAGACGTACATATACAGAGGTAAAAAGACGTGCACACTGACAAGAACAACACAGCGCACGCCACTGGCTACTAAGTGGCTGTGACGTCACCACGGCGCTCGTGCCAAGCTAGGTGCATGTTCAGCCCGTCACTTGAAATGTGAAAGGCTCGCTGCTGGCAGGAGGTCTCGGGACAGACCCATGTGCCATGGGTTGGCTGACTGAGATGACTGGTAGATGCACTGGTAGATGCACCAGCTTTACCCCCTACTGTGCCAACTTGCTTTCATTTTAATCGCCCGGCGCTGCGCTCGTTGTTGTGGGCGTCGCTCCTCTGCCCTCTGTTGTTGCTGGAGGGCGACAGCCTCCAACTGCCCAGTAGCAGCGTCCTTCACGAGCCTCCTGCATAGAGGCTGATCTTGACACCGCTGGTACCAGTCATCGGCAAGTCCACTCAGCTCCACATTCTCCAGTACCGCATCACTCCGTCTCTTCTCCAGCCCGTTTAGCCCCCTTTATGCGGCCAAACAGAAGCTGATTGGGCATGCGGTGGCTGGGCATGCGGGCTACATGACCCAGCCAATGCAGCCTTGCCTGCCGGAGGAGGTCACTGATGGGAATGTGTCCAGATCTTTCAAGGATTTGTGAACTCCTTCACACAATCCAGCCTGGTTAAACTCAGGATGGATCGTCGGCATGCCAGCCTGAATGTTTCTAACTGGAGCAGATGTTTTATTAGAGGAATCCACGTTTCACAAGCATAGAGAAGTGAGGGCATGACTGTGGCCGAGAAGACCCGAAGCTTCGTGCGGAGCGACAGACCAAGTAGCTTCCGCACAGATAATGCCGCCCGACTGATTCGGAGTGAGACCTTTGCTGTCAAACCGAAGCTGGTTACATGGACACACACACGGACACACACACACGGGGTCACTATCACGTGTGCCACTCCCCCACACACGAACACACACGGACACACACACACGGGGTCACTATCACGCGTGCCACTCCCCCCCACACACACACGGACACACACACACACGGACACACATACACACGGACACACACACACGGACACACACACACGAGGTCACTATCACGCGTGCCACTCCCCCCCCCACACACACGGACACACACACACGGACACACACACACACGTACACACACACACAAGGACACACACACACGGACACACACACACACGGGGTCACTATCACGCGTGCCATCTCGTGCCGCTCAGCTCCGCCGCGCGGGTCGCCCCGGGCCCCTCCCTGCGCGTGAGAGCCGGGCCTGGCCGGGCCGGCGACACGAGCGAGTGACTGAGCCCCCCCCCCCCCCCCCACTGTTTGTTGATGTTTGCGTGGAGAAGGACGGCCGGAGTTGGGGGGGGGGGTTCTCCAGGGTCGGGTAATTTCCTCTCCTTTTGCTTTAAGGGGGGGGGGGGGGGTTGAAATTCCGCTGTCGGGCGAGCAGCGGTTATAAATCACGGTCAACCCTGGTCGCCACGGAGAGCGCGGCGCGCGTTCACACGATGTTCGTGACGACGGTCATGATGCTGATGATGGTGGGTGATGGTGGTGATGGTGAGAGTAGCTGATGGTGGTGGTGCGTGATGGTGGTGATAGTGAGAGTAGCTGATGATGGTGGGTGATGGTGGTGATGGTGAGAGTGGCTGGTGGTGGTGAGTGATGGTAGTGATGGTGGTGGTGTGTGATGGTGGGTGATGGTGGTGGCTGCTTTGTGTAGATGAAGGTGGTGGTGTCACAGAACGAGCTGGCCCAACGCAGGTCACGGGGAAATTGCGGTGTGTGTGCAGGTCGATATGCGTGCGGTGTGTAAAACATCAGCACTGGGGAGATAAAGGCGGCCGGGTGTGGTACTGGCCACCCATCCCCTCGTGCGCCGTGCCGGCCCTCACAAGCGCTACTCCGCTTCGAGGCTTGACGGGGATCTCCTGTCTTTGTCTTCCTGCAGGACATGCGCAAGCACGTGATTCTCAACCTGCTGGACACGGAGCGATCCTACGTGGAGTCCCTCCAGCAGCTCGTGGAGGTTCGTACCCTGCACCCGCCATTCCACCTTCGCGTGCCACAGGAGAGGCTCTGTCAGTTACACGGGAGTGGCTTTTGCCCGACTCTGCTGATGAGCACGAAGAAGGTCGAAACCGGGTCAGAGCCTTTATTTGCTTAAACAAGACGCCGCTGCATAGTCTTGGGGTGCAAAGCCAAGGGGGCGATGACCTTTGACACCACGCGTGGTTGTGGATGGCGTGGAGACACGGGGCGCGGGCCTCACCGCGAGCCTGTGCAGCCTCACTCACTCACCTATTCACTCACTCACCCCTTCACTCACTCACTCACTCACCCACTTCACTCACTCACCCCCTTCACTCACTCACTCACTCACTCACTCGCCCACTTCACTCACTCACCCACTTCACTCACTCACCCCCTTCACTCACTCACTCACTTCACTCACTCACTCACCCACTTCACTCACTCAATCACTCACCCCCTTCACTCACTCACCCACTTCACTCACTCACCCCCTTCACTCACCCACTTCACTCACCCACTTCACTCACTCACTCACTCACCCACTTCACTCACTCACTTCACTCACTCACTCACTCACCCCCTTAACTAACTCACTCACTCACCCCCTTCACTCACCCACTTCACTCACTCACCCACTTCACTCACTCACTCACCCACTCACTCACTCACCCCCTTCACTCACTCACTCACCCACTCACCCACTTCACTCACTCACTCACCCACTTCACTCACCCACTTCACTCACTCACCCCCTTCACTCACTCACCCCCTTCACTCACTCACTCACTCACCCCCTTCACTCACTCACTAACCCACTCACCCACTTCACTCACTCACTCACTCACTCACCCACTTCACTCACCCACTTCACTCACTCACCCCCTTCACCCACTCACTCACTCACTCACCCCCTTCACTCACTCACTCACTCACTTCACTCACTCACTCACCCACTTCACTCACTCACCCCCTTCACTCACTCACTCACTCACTCACCCACTTTACTCACCCACTTCACTCACTAACCTACTTCACTCACTCACTCACTCACCCACTTCACTCACCCACTTCACTCACTAACCCACTTCACTCACTCACTCACACCCTTCACTCACTCACCCACTCACCCACTTCACTCACTCACTCACTCACCCCCTTCACTCACTCACTCACTCACCCACTTCACTCACTCACTCACTCACCCCCTTCACTCACTCACTCACTCACTCACCCCCTTCACTCACTCACTCACTCACCCACCTCACTCACTCACCCCCTTCACTCACTCACTCACTCACCCCCTTCACTCACTCACTCACTCACCCACTTCACTCACCCTCTTCACTCACTCACCCACTCACTCTCTCCCTCTCTCCTCCCCCCTCAACTCTTTCATTCCCTCCGCCTTCTCTCTCTCTCCCTGGCATCTCTCCCACACGCTCCTTCCTTCCCTTCCTCCCTCTCTCTTCCCCTTCCTCCAATTGCTCCCTCTCTCTCTCTCTCTATGTTTCCTGACACTGTCCCTCCTCTCCCTCCCTGCCCTCCCTCGCTCTCTACAATAGTTCCCATCTTTCTCATTTCCATCCCTCCCAACACCCTCTTCACCCTCCCTCCTTCCATCCATCCTCTTCTTCCTTCCATCTCGCTCCGTTCTTACTTCCCCTCTCTATCCCTCTATCTAATCATCCTTCCTTCAACCTCGTGCCCTCTCTCCCCTCCCACATCACCGAGTGTCGCGGGGACAGACAGAGATGAGAGACAGAGCAGGAGAGAGCGCGAGAGAGCGAGAGAGAGTCTCTCTCTCTCTCGCGCGAAATAGTTCTGAACCCACGTGCGCGAACAAAGCATTCCTGTGGCGGCGTTCCGATGAGGGAGGTGTTTTGGGTTTCCGGGCCAGAGGAGCGGCGCTCGGAACGGAGCAACGGGGCCGCGTTCCGAGCCGTCGTAGGTGGCGATGCTCCGCGCGCCCGCGCCGCGGCATTCCACGCGCGCCTTTGTATTCCCGCTAACAGGAAGTGTCCGGCTCGGCCGCGCTCAGGAATGTTGCCTCTTATGGAAGAAGAGAAAACGCCTGGGCCAAGGGGGCAGGGCGGGGGGGGCGCGATCCTGCGAATTAATGCGGCATTTTAATTGGCATCAAAGAATGTCCGCGCGTCCCTCTCTCCCCTCCTCCCTCTCGTCTCTCCCCTCCTCCCTCCCGTCTCGCTCTCCTCTCGCTCTCTCGCCGTGGTGGCGTTGAGGCCGCCAGACCCGATGTCTTGAGACCAATACCGAGTTGATGTTGTTGTAGTAGTAGTTGTTGTTGTTGTAGTTATTGTTGTTGTAGTAGTTGTTGTTGTCGTTGTTGTAATTATTGTTGTTGTAGTAGTTGTTGTATTAGTAGTTTGTAGTTGTAGTAGTTGTTTAGTTGTTGTTATTTTAGTAGTTGTAGGAGTTGTTGTTGTTGTTGCTTTCCCTTCCCGTATTCACACGGCGCTCAGAACGCTCCACGCACTTCCTCCTCGCGCCGTGCCCTCGTGAGCCATTGGTGTTCGTCTCCCGTTTACAGCTCTGAGCCAGTGGTGGATATTCCGCATTCCTATGACGGGGGCGAGTCTGGTCAAGTGGTACTAGTTTTAACGACCCCGGAGGGCGGGATGATGGGTTGAGTCAACCCCACCCTTACGATTGCGAGCCGCTCGCTCCGACGCTGAGCCACCTGGCTGGGATAGTTGACTGATGATGCTGCTGCTGATGAAGCTGCTGATGATGCTGCTGATGATGATGCTGCTGATGATGATGCTGCTGCTGATGAGGATGCTGCTGATGATCATGCTGCTGCTGATGATGATGATGACCATGCTGCTGAAGTATTCTACTTCCGCTGAGAGGTCATAGGCATCGTCAGTCTGACCACGTCCCCTGACCCCCGCCAATGGCTTCGGGGGGCACAGAGCCCAGCGAGGGACGGACGGCTGCACAGTGCAGTGGTAACACTCAGCACGGAGAGCCTGGGTTCGAATCCCGAACTTGGGCGTCTTTAAATGTCGAGTTTGCATGTTCTCCCCTGTTCTGCAGAGTGTGTGGGCAGGTTGTGGGGAGAGGTGGTGTAGTGGTTAGCGCATTGCCCTGCGAACCTGGTGACCCGAGTTCGATTCCCGCTCACGACCAAACAACAGTTACGATTATCTGAACCAGTCCCAGGCCTCCCCTAGGTCGACTCAGCCTCACATGAGTATCTGGTGCGATGTGTAAACAACATGACCACTAGGGAGACAAAGGCGGTCGGGCGTGGTGTTGACCACCCACCCTGGCCTTCATAGGGGCCCCCTAACAGCACTTGCCCCAACAATCTGTAAAAGGCTATACGAGACATATTTGTCTTTGTTAGCAGCCAGCCGATGCCTTGTATTGTTCCTCAAGGACAATGCCCTTGAGTTGTGGTTCATTTTAAGTGCGAACAATCATTCGTTTGTGTTAGACCCCCCCCTCCGCCCAGAACCCCCCTCGCCCCCACCCCCTAAAATGCCCCCCCCCCCAACTGTCGGCGAGCTCAAGGGAGAGGTGACAGTGGTGGTGGCTGGTAATGTAGCAGGGGAAGGGCAGTGTCAGCACCAGGGGCAGGGCAGTGTCAGCACCAGGGGCAGGGCAGTGTCAGCACCAGGGGCAGGGCAGTGTCAGCACCAGGGGCAGGGCAGTGTCAGTGCCAGGGGAAGGGCAGTGTCAGCACCAGGGGCAGGGCAGTGTCAGCACCAGGGGCAGAGCAGTGTCAGCACCAGGGGCAGGGCAGTGTCAGTGCCAGGGGAAGGGCAGTGTCAGCACCAGGGGCAGGGCAGTGTCAGCACCAGGGGCAGGGCAGTGTCAGCACCAGGGGCAGGGCAGTGTCAGCGCCAGGGGAAGGGCAGTGTCAGTGCCAGGGGAAGGGCAGTGTCAGCACCAGGGGCAGGGCAGTCTCAGCACCAGGGGAAGGGCAGTGTCAGCACCAGGGGCAGGGCAGTGTCAGCACCAGGGGCAGGGCAGTCTCAGCACCAGGGGAAGGGCAGTGTCAGCACCAGGGGAAGGGCAGTGTCAGCACCAGGGGAAGGGCAGTGTCAGCACCAGGGGCAGGGCAGTGTCAGCACCAGGGGAAGGGCAGTGTCAGCACCAGGGGCAGGGCAGTGTCAGCACCAGGGGCAGGGCAGTGTCAGCACCAGGGGCAGGGCAGTGTCAGCACCAGGGGCAGGGCAGTGTCAGCGCCAGGGGAAGGGCAGTGTCAGCACCAGGGGCAGGGCAGTGTCAGTGCCAGGGGAAGGGCAGTGTCAGCACCAGGGGCAGGGCAGTCTCAGCACCAGGGGAAGGGCAGTGTCAGTGCCAGGGGAAGGGCAGTGTCAGCACCAGGGGAAGGGCAGTGTCAGCACCAGGGGAAGGGCAGTCTCAGCACCAGGGGAAGGGCAGTCTCAGCACCAGGGGAAGGGCAGTGTCAGCACCAGGGGAAGGGCAGTGTCAGTGCCAGGGGAAGGGCAGTGTCAGCACCAGGGGAAGGGCAGTGTCAGTGCCAGGGGAAGGGCAGTGTCAGCACCAGGGGAAGGGCAGTGTCAGCACCAGGGGAAGGGCAGTGTCAGCACCAGGGGAAGGGCAGTCTCAGCACCAGGGGAAGGGCAGTGTCAGCACCAGGGGAAGGGCAGTGTCAGTGCCAGGGGAAGGGCAGTCTCAGCACCAGGGGAAGGGCAGTGTCAGCACCAGGGGAAGGGCAGTGTCAGCACCAGGGGCAGGGCAGTCTCAGCACCAGGAGAAGGGCAGTCTCAGCACCAGGGGAAGGGCAGTCTCAGCACCAGGGGAAGGGCAGTGTCAGCACCAGGGGCAGGGCAGTGTCAGTGCCAGGGGAAGGGCAGTGTCAGCACCAGGGGAAGGGCAGTGTCAGCACCAGGGGCAGGGCAGTGTCAGTGCCAGGGGAAGGGCAGTGTCAGTGCCAGGGGAAGGGCAGTGTCAGTGCCAGGGGAAGGGCAGTGTCAGTGCCAGGGGAAGGGCAGTGTCAGTGCCAGGGGAAGGGCAGTCTCCGCTCGGCGAGAACAAGGGCGGGCATTGTGCGCGCGCCCGTGAGTCACGTGTCCCGCGCTCTCAGGTGCGTCCTGGCCTAGGGGGCAGGGTTTGCGAGGGGGGTGGGGGAGGGGGACTTGGCGGGGGGGGGGCAGTTGTGAGGTGGAGGGGAGGAGGGGTGGAGGAGGAGATGAGTGGAGGATTAAATTCGCGGGCCTGGAGCGCGAGTGGGGGATGGAGTGGTTATTTCTGCACTTCCTAATTTCCAAGCCTTTTGACGATTCTGGTGGGGGGGGGGGGGGGGGGGGTGACGCAGTGGTTAGGGTACTGTGCTATGAAGCTGGCGACCTGAGTGCGATTCCCAGCCATGGTCAACATCAGGAGCGAGCTGGTCTTGGGCAGCCCCTTCTCCTTCCCAACCCCCCCCCCCCCCTGTGGACAGCACTCGCCGGCACGAGAGGGCTTCATCCAGCAGTTGATTCATTCCTAAATTAATCCCCTATTCTATCAATCTCCACCCGCACCAGCGATTCGATTCATCCAGCAGCGGATTGAGAATAGGCCACGTGTCCACGTGACTCGGCCCATCATCCCCACGGGGTGGGTAATAATTGGTATCGCTTTGTGGGGAAGTCAATTGTCACATTTCTTATGGCTGAACTCGCCCCCGCCATAATAATGTGGAGTTTTCACCACTGGCTTGTGGCTGTAAACCGGATGTGAATACCGATGTCACAATGCTCATTTGATGTAGGAAATTACGTAGACATTACCGCACCGCCATCGTCACCAATAACACCACTACCATCCTTATCATCTTCACCATCATCACCACCAACGTCAACACCACCAACATCACCACCCATACCATTGTTCTCACCAACACCAGCACCAGTAACACCATCAACACCACCACCATCTTCACCAGCACCCTTTAGATGTTTAGTTTGCTGTCCATCCCCCGCACCTCCGATTAGCGCGGTTGGTTACGCACGGTGCAAAATAAGTTCAACATGCATACAACATGCATATAACATGCGTACAACATGCATGCCATATACAGCCGGCGCACCATCTCCACGACTAACGCCGTCGCGTGTGCAGGGCTACATGCGACCGCTGAAGCAGGCGGAGAACGCGGGGCTGTGCGACCCTGCGCTGGTGGACGACATGTTCTACCAGGTGCCCGAGATCCTGGGCCACCACGAGCGCTTCCTGGCGCGCGTCACCGCCTGCGTCGAGTCGTGGCACGAGCGCCAGACCGTGGGGGACCTCCTCGTCGAGTCGGTGCGAGCCCCCCCCCCCAGACCCCCCCCAACCCCCTTCCACAGACCCCTAGAGCTGCAACAAACTTACCGGTGAGGGGGGGGCAGTCCCGACATGGCAAGATTTTTTTTTATTTTCATAACAAAATGTATCTTACACATTTTATTTGGTCGATATTAAAAATATATTGGGGGTCTCAAGGAGGAGGGGGGGGCAATTCCCCCATTGCCCTGCCCCCCCCCCCTCCCCCGTGTGCATTCCCCTTGGACGTGCGTGCACGTGTTGTGTTGGCACAGTGGGGAGCCCAGGTGGTGCATCTGCGAGTTAACCCACAACACCTGGGTCTGTCCCGTGACCCCCTGCCAACAGAGAGCCTGCCTCATTTCGCGTGACGACCTCAAAGCACACCTAGCCTGGCACGGGCGCCGTGGTGACGTCACCCCTATTGAGTGGCGGACAGCGGCTGTTGTTGTTGTTGTGTGTGCGTGTCTTTGTGTACGTGAGGTTGTACGCACGAGCGCGTGAGTGTGTGTGAACAGTGGGAGTGGTGGTGTAGCGGTTAGCGCGCTGCGCTACGAACCTGGCGACCCGAGTTAGATTCCCGCTCACGGCTGACATCAGTGACGATTATCTGAACCAGTCCTTGGCCTCCCCTAGATCGACTCAACCTCAAATGAGTACCTGGTACGGTGCGTAAAAAACGTCAACACTAGGGAGACAAAGGCGGCCGGGCGTGGTGCTGGCCACCCACCCCCTCGTGTGCCGTTCTGGCCTTCATAGGTGTTCGCCAACAATACTTGCCCCGACAGTCTGTTAGGCTACACGGGGGATCTTTGTCTTTGTGTGTGAACACGCTGCTGGAGCCCAGGCAGTGTGGCATCACTCCTTGGCGATGCGTGGCATCTGTAGCTGGCGTGGTCCACGCCTAGGTCAGCTCGACATGAAATAATGTGTCGGGCGCCATGCGTCAGCAACGCAGCACCGGCTGATTGAGATCAGAACGCCCATGGCCTGATAATAACGAGAATGCGTCAAGCCAAAGCAAGAGGGGAGCTCTGCGACTCCTCCTCACGCCACTCCAGGGAGGGAGGGGGGTGACTCAGGGGTTCCCGAATGGCCGAGTCGAAAGGAACGACACTTGGACCGCACTCCCCTCTCCCTCCCATTCCTCTCTCTCTCTCTCACCTCTCAATATTTCCATTTTCATCTCTCTCGCATCCCTCTCCCTCTCATCTCTTACCTCCCACTTCTCCCCCACCCAACCCCACTCCTCTCTCCATTTCCTCTCCTTCTCTCTCCTCCCTCCCACCTTCGCTCTCACTCTCTCCCCCTCTTTACCCCCCTCCTCCATCCCTTTCACCTCTCTCTCCCATTATTCTGTCATCTCTCCCGCCCTCTCTCTCCTCCCTCTCTCTTTCATCTCGCACCGAACCGTTTTATTTCCCCTCCATCTCCTTTCTCCTCTCGCGCTGCCCTTTGCGTCTCTCGAGTCTGGGAGCGGCGACTCCCCTCGGCGTGACAGAGAGAGGGGGGGGCATGAGGAGGTGGAGGAGAGGGGGAGGGGGGAGGGGCATGAGGAGGTGGAGGAGAGGGGAAGGGGGGGGGACGTTAGAGACGGGGATGAGGAGCTGTCGAGGAGGTGTGCAGGAGGGAGGAAGAGGCGAAAAGGAGCAGTCGAGTTTGAGCAGGGGGTGAGGAGGAGGAGGAGGGAGGGCGGGGAGGAGAGAGGAGTTGGATAAGGAGTAGGATGGATAGAGAAGGGGATGATGCGGATGAGGTGGAGGAGAGGGGACGCGGAGTCCGTGGTAGGAGCGAGAGGAGGCGGGGGGCATGAGGGGGAGGGGGGAGCCCCGCTCTGGGTTATTCCTGGCGTCTAAACCTCCCCGCGCCCTCCCCCCGCCGTGCCGAGCGGAACGCCAAGTCCCCTCGCTTTGTCCGCCTGGGTCATTGCAGCCTGCGGCATGGGTCACGCTTAGCACTCGCCATTGGTCACGCTTAGCACTCGCCAACTGAGAGGCTCTGCCGCTTGTGTCGTGACAAAGAGAGGGGCAGTGGGGGGGGAGTTGGGGGGGGGGGTCGTTCAGTCCAAGAGAGGGAGCACAGCACAACGAACTCGGCGACCAGAGTTCGATTTCGGCTCACGGCCAATTTTAGTGGCGAGTAATTGAACCGGTCCCGGGCTACCTTCTTAGTCGACTCGGCCTTAAATGAGTATTCGTTGCGTTGTGTAAACATCAGCACTGGGGAGACAAAGGCGGCCGGGCCTGGTACTGGCCACCCACCCCCTCGTGTGCCTTGCCACCCTTCATAGGTGCTCGTTAACATCACTCGTCCTAACAGTTTGGTAAAGACTACACGGGGAACCTTTGTCCTTGTTCAGTCAAATAAGCGACGCGATTGGGTGGGCAGGGAGGGAGACTGTGATGGGTGAGCAGGGAGGGGGGACTGTGGGGGATAGGGGAGGGGGGCCCACGTGTGAACCGTGGGCACCCATTGGCTGCTGCTCTGTGTCTTCGTTATCGCACGCACTAATTTTAAATCCCTATCAGCGGGGAGGATGAACGAGAGGGAGGCGGGGGGGTATGGCGAGGTCAAATGTCAGACGCAAGGCGCGTGGTACACGCGGTCAGGGGTTACGAGGCCACGGGTGGTGGGAGAGGGAGGCCCTGGGGGTGGGAGACAGAGACCCTGGGGGTGGGAGAGAGAGACCCTGGGGGTGGGAGAGAGAGACCCTGGGGGTGGGAGAGAGAGACCCTGGGGGTGGGAGAGAGAGACCCTGGGGGTGGAAGAGAAAGACCCTGGGGGTGGGAGACAGAGACCCTGGGGGTGGGAGACAGAGACCCGGGGGGTGGGAGACAGAGACCCTGGGGGTGGGAGAGAGAGACCCTGGGGGTGGGAGAGAGAGACCCTGGGGGTGGGAGACAGAGACCCTGGGGGTGGGAGAGAGAGACCCTGGGGGTGGGAGAGAGAGACCCTGGGGGTGGGAGAGAGAGACCATGGGGGTGGGAGACAGAGACCCTGGGGGTGGGAGAGAGAGACCCTGGGGGTGGGAGAGAGAGACCCTGGGGGTGGGAGAGAGACCCTGGGGGTGGGAGAGAGAGACCCTGGGGGTGGGAGAGAAAGACCCTGGGGGTGGGAGACAGAGACCCTGGGGGTGGGAGACAGAGACCCGGGGGGTGGGAGACAGAGACCCTGGGGGTGGGAGAGAGAGACCCTGGGGGTGGGAGACAGAGACCCTGGGGGTGGGAGAGAGAGACCCTGGGGTGGGAGAGAGAGACCCTGGGGGTGGGAGACAGAGACCCGGGGGTGGGAGACAGAGACCCTGGGGGTGGGAAACAGAGACTTTGGGGGTGGGAGAGAGAGACCCTGGGGTGGGAGAGAGAGACCCTGGGGGTGGGAGACAGAGACCCTGGGGGTGGGAGAGAGAGACCCTGGGGGTGGGAGACAGAGACCCGGGGGTGGGAGACAGAGACCCTGGGGGTGGGAGACAGAGACCCTGGGGGTGGGAGAGAGAGACCCTGGGGGTGGGAGACAGAGACCCTGGGGGTGGGAGACAGAGACCCTGGGGGTGGGAGAGAGAGACCCTGGGGGTGGGAGACAGAGACCCGGGGGTGGGAGACAGAGACCCGGGGGGTGGGAGAGAGAGACCCGGGGGTGGGAGACAGAGACCCTGGGGGTGGGAGAGAGAGACCCTGGGGGTGGGAGACAGAGACCCGGGGGTGGGAGACAGAGACCCTGGGGGTGGGAGAGAGAGACCCTGGGGGTGGGAGACAGAGACCCGGGGGTGGGAGACAGAGACCCGGGGGTGGGAGAGAGAGACCCGGGGGTGGGAGACAGAGACCCGGGGGTGGGAGTTAGTGGTATCTCCCTGCCAGTGGTATCATCTCCCTCCCCTTGTAGACTCGTAACTCACCGCGCGCCGCGTGTATGTGTCTTGGCGCGACTTGCAAGGGGTGCGGAATCGGGTTGCGCCCGTCCGTCTTTGTCTCCCTGCGAGGGCGCGGATCTCGGGCTTGGAGTCGAGGGCCCTGCCAGGACCGCGCCCCGCGGCACGACAAGTTTTCTGTTTTTGTTCCACGAGGCACCAGACGGAGGGGGGCTCCTACAATCTGGAGTGAATTCAAACGCAATGCACTCGCAGACCGATGGATATATAAATTGACTGGTCGATAGATGGATAGGTAGACAATTGGATAGAGTAATAGACATTTGGATAGATGGACAGATGGGCGGATGGATGGGCAAATAAATCGGCGGAGTCGATGGATAGGAAGGTTGCCGGGTTTGTAGCGCAGTGCACTTGCCACTGCACCAACGCTCCCCACGCACACACGCACGCACACACACACGCACACACACGCACACACGAACACACACACGCACACACACGCACGTACACACGCACACACACCCTCACGCACACACACTAACGCACCCACTCACGCACCCACTCACGCACACTCACACACACTCACGCACACACACACTCACGCACCCACTCACGTACCACTCACGCACACTCACGCACACACGCACACTCGCACACTCACACACACGCACGCACACACACAAACACACACACGAACACACACACACGCACACACGCACACACTCACACACACACGAACACACACACACGCACACACGCACGCACACACGCACACTCACACACTCACACACACGCACGTACATACGCACACACACTCACACACTCACACGCACACACGCACACACTCACACACACGCACACGCACACTCACACACGCACACTCTCACACACACACGCACACACACACACACGCACACACACACACGCACACACACACACGCACACTCTCACACACACACGCACACACACACACGCACACCGCCCGATGTAAACAGCGGCATTCCGACACGCGACGCAGGGGAGACGCTCCGACACGCGTGACACGGCACACTCGAGTCGCCCCGCGCTCGCTCCTGCCCCTCTCCATCGCTCCCGCCCCTCACCTCTCTCCCTGTTCACTACCTCGTCTGGGATACACGAGGTCTTGGGTACGACTCCGACCCTGACGCCTGCGTATTTGGAGGTTGCATGTTCTCCCCGCGATCGCGGGGATTTTTCTCCGAGTATCAACGTCACGCGTTTCGAGTATTCTGGCTGCTATAAATGTCCACATGCAAAGCGACTTCGTTGAGCTATCAGTTGTGGCCAGGTCGGTTCTGAAAATCAGCTATATAGCTGTGGGCCTTTCCTGGTAACATAAGAAAATGGTAATAAAAATATAATGGTCATCTATTCCTGTTCTTATCTCACTCTCTCCCTGTATCCATCTTCCTCCATCGGCTGATCTTCCGCTCTCTCTCTCTCTCTCTTTGCTTTATTCACCAACTCTTATTATCTCTCCCCTCTCTCATTATCTCTCTCTCCAACTCCCCCCTCCTCCATACCGATCCCTCTTTATCTCCCAAACCATCTCCCCGTCCCTCCCTCTCCCTATCTCCACTCTCCGGTCCCTCGGCCCCTCTGTGTCCCCGCAGTTCTCCAAGGAGCTGCTGGCCGACTCCTACTCGGCCTACATCGACAACTTCCCGCACGCCCAGGAGGCCGTGAAGGTGGCCAACAAGGCTAGGGCCTCGTTCAGTCGCTTCCTCGAGGTGAGGGGCGGGGGCTGGGGGGGTGAGAGAGGGGCTGGGGGGAGAGAGGGGCTGGGGGGGAGAGAGGGGCGGGGGGGGTGAGAGGGGGTGGGGGGTGAGAGAGGGGCTGGGGAGGTGAGAGAGGGGCTGGGGGGGGAAGAGAGGGGCTGGGCGGGAGAGAGGGGCTGGGGTGGAGTGAGGGGGGCGGGAGAGAGGATGTGAGAAGAGGAGATTCGTTAGGAGAGGTGCGAAGGAAGAGAGATGTAGAGAGAGATAGGGGAGGGAGGGATCGTGGAGGTGTAGTGGAGGTTAGAGGGATGAAGAGACGGCAGGAGGGGAGAGAGGAGCAAGGGGAGAGAGGTGCAGAAGGGACTGCGAGAGGAGGGGGGAAGGATGGAATGGGAGGAGAGAGGAGATGAGAGGTAAGGGGGAGGGTGGAGTACAGAGACGAATGAGAAGTGTGGAGGAGGAATATGTGCAGGGGTAGGAGAGAGGTACGGGTGGGAGGAGAGGGGGTTAACGGCGAGGCTTTAACGGTAAAACATAAAATAGAATAGGCGACGTTTCGAACAATGGCCCTTCCTCATAGCACAGTCGACCCCAACGCCGCTTGGTGAACCCGGCTCGCAGTGCTACGGCGCCCTCTCGTGGCCACGGTCAGTACGTGACCGTGGCCTGCACCCAGCACGTGGCTCGTCATGGACATCGGCACTGGAGAGACAAAGGCTGCCGGGCGCGGTGCTGACCACACCGACGCCTCGTCTGCCCTACCAGCCTTCATAGGTGGTGTTAAGGCTGTATGGATGGTCTTCGTGCTTGTTGATGTGCCCTGCATTGCTGGTGGTGGTAGTGATTGAACACAGCGGGGTGGTGGTGGGTGAGACGGCACAGAGAGCGAGTCCTCAACACGGGCGGAGGAGGAATCGACGAGTGGAGTCTAGGGGCAATAGTGACCGTGGTGGTAGCGATAGAAGAGTGATAAGAGTGAGACTGTGTTCGTAGCTTTCATAGGTGCTACTCGCACACAGCACTTGCCCCAACAGTCTGTCAAAGGCTACACGGGGGATCTTTGTCTTGTCTTTGCTCGTACGCAGCACCGCTGATGCCTTGCCCTGTCCCCTTCCCAGCAATGCATGCGGGAGAACCGGGAGAAGCAAGCCCTGGCTGACCTCATGATCAAACCGGTGCAGAGGATCCCACGATACGAGCTCCTCATCAAGGTCTGGGGGGGTTGGCGGGGGGGGGGGGTCGAGGGGCGGGGGTGGGTGGGGACATTGACGTAGCGTGGTTGGCATTGTCTCGAGGTGCTCTGTGCCAGGCCCGTCTGAGTCACGAGTGTGGGGTTCATCGTGGCTCCAGGTTGACGAGCTGCAAGTCCACCTTGGGGTTTCCAGTCCACGAAGGAGGATGATGATGATGGTGATGGGCTTGTGTTGTTGCTCTGGAGACCAGGAGGTTGATGGTCGATGTTCGGTCGCCGCGTTGCTGCGATTCGCCGTGATCTCCCACTTCACAGACTGGGCCGCGTGAAGGCTGCTGCCATCTTCCACTCCATGGCGATGATGATGAGCAGGAGGAGAGGGGGTGGTGGAGTGACGTGTGTGTGTGTGTGTCTGCGTGCGTGTGTGTGTGTGCGCTTGTGTCGATCCCCCACGGCAGGACCTGCTTAAGCACACCCCGGAGGAGCACCCTGACCGGCCGTGCCTCGTGGAGGCCCAGAGAGGCCTCCACGCCCTGGCCAGCCGCATCAACCAGGGCCGCCGCGAGGCCGAGGAGGCCACGCGTCACGCGTGCGCCCTGCAGCGGGTCGAGGCGGCCATCGAGGGCCTCAGTGAGGTGGGGCTTCCCTCCCACACCGGCCACAATTTTCTGAACCGCTCCTGGGCCTCGCCTAGGTCAACTCGCACCTCCAATTAGCACGGTCGGCTACGTACGGTGCGAAAGAAGTTCAACATACATATGGGAGACAAAGGCGGCCGGGCGTGGTTCTGGACACCCACCACCTCGTGTGCCGTTCCTTGCTTCACAGTTGCTCGCTAGCAGCACTTGCTCCTCCAGTCTGTTAAGGCTGTACGCGTGATCATTGCCTTTGTCTTGTCGCTGTGTTGCAGTTGGCTGTTCCGGGGAGGAGGTTCATCCGACAGGAGCTCGTGGTGGAGGTGGTGAGATTCCGCTGATGAGCGAATTTGCACCGATCGTCCCCACGCTGAGCAGCGCAGCACCGAACCAGTCCATCTCTCCGCCAGCCGCTTTGTCCATGTCTGAGCGACTATTTGCGCATAACAGGATCGTAATGGCCAATCGGGGCTCGCAAGCTTGTCGCATGGTCATGACATACTCCGCTACCAATGGCCCAGCATGGCTGTCCGTCTGTATGTCTGTGCGATTGTCTGTGTGTGCCTGTGTGCGAGAGGTCCCGGGTTCAAATTCTGGACGAACGCCCATGGGGAGCGGTAGTTGTAGCGGTTAACGCACTGCGCTACGAACCTGGCCACCGAGTTCGATTCCCGCTCACGACCAACACCGGTGGCGATTTTCTGAACCAGTCCTGGGCTCTCTGTAGGTCGACTCGGCCTCAAATAAGTACCCGGTGTGATGGGTAAACATCAGCACTTGGGAGACACTGATCACACTACTCACTTGTGCGTCGTGACGGGCATCATAGGCACTGGCTCACAGCACGCGTCCCAACAGGCTGTGAAAGGCCACACGGGGGATCTTTCTATGTATCTCTGTGAGGAGCAGAAGGCCGTGGGGGGCAAGAAGGAGCGATGCCTCTTTCTCTTCTCCGACCTCCTGCTCTGCACGACACTCAAGCGCAAGTCGGGCTCGCTGCGTCGCAGCTCCTTCAGCCTGTGAGTGCCTGCACGGAGAGAGAGCACTCGCAGTGAGCAGTGCACCACTTCGCGCAATACAGAATTGCTCCTCCGGCCTCTTCAGGCGCTGGGGAGACAAAGGCGGCCGGGCGTGTATCCGGCCACACCCAGCCCTTTGCGCGATGCCGACTTTCTTAGGGTGTTCACGAGCAGCGCTTGCCTCAATAGACTGTGGAGGCTACATGGGAGATCTTTGCCTGTGTGTGTGCAGGACAACTGCTGGCAGCTACATTGACCTGAGCAGTAAGTACAAGCTGCTGTGGCGCTCTCCACTCCACGAACTGGAGGTGGTGAAAGGTGAGATGGAATCACCACCACCGCCACTGTCACCACCACCAACCATGGTCATCACCACCACCACCACGGACAAGTCTTCCACCATCACCACTTTTTCTCATCCACATTCCACCACCCCTGACTCTACCACCACATCCTAACTGCCTCTCGCCGCACCGTACCACAACACCACCACCACCAGGGCAGCTACACTGTTCATCACAGTCACCAGCATCATAACCATCACCACCACCGTCAAGTTCAATCCACCACCCACCACCACTGTCTCATCCACCTCTTGCCACACCGTAAGTCATCATCTCATCAACCATCACCACCACTAGAACAGCTGTACCCAACACCACAACCATCACTACCACTACCACCACCATCGCAATCACCACTACTATCATCATAACTACCATCAGCAATACCACCATCAACACCACCACCACGGCTCCACAAACCGTCTCCTGACTCACGACCGTAACCCCTTGACCGTGACCCCGTGGTAACCCCGCGATGACCCCAGGCTCGTGCGAGCTGCTGGTGCCGGCGGCGAGGGAGGCGCTGCAGAGGAGCGTCACGGGGCTGGAGGAGGACACGGCGCGGCTCGCAGACATCCGCGGCCTCGTCGACTCGCTCACCGTGCCTCACCAGGTGAGCTCACCGTGCCTCACCAGGTGAGCTCCCCGTGCCTCACCAGGTGAGCTCACCGTGCCTCACCAGGTGAGCTCACCGTGCCTCACCAGGTGAGCTCACCGTGCCTCGTCGACTCGCTCCCCGTGCCTCACCAGGTGAGCTCGCCGTGCCTCACCAGGTGAGCTCGCCGTGCCTCACCAGGTGAGCTCACCGTGCCTCACCAGGTGAGCTCACCGTGCCTCACCAGGTGAGCTCGCCGTGCCTCACCAGGTGAGCTCACCGTGCCTCACCAGGTGAGCTCACGTGCCTCACCAGGTGAGCTCCCCGTGCCTCACCAGGTGAGCTCACCGTGCCTCACCAGGTGAGCTCACCGTGCCTCACCAGGTGAGCTCTCCGTGCCTCGTCGACTCACTCACCGTGCCTCACCAGGTGAGCTCACCGTGCCTCACCAGGTGAGCTCACCGTGCCTCACCAGGTGAGCTCACCGTGCCTCACCAGGTGAGCTCACCGTGCCTCACCAGGTGAGCTCACCGTGCCTCACCAGGTGAGCTCACCGTGCCTCACCAGGTGAGCTCACCGTGCCTCACCAGGTGAGCTCACCGTGCCTCACCAGGTGAGCTCCCCGTGCCTCACCAGGTGAGCTCCCCGTGCCTCACCAGGTGAGCTCACCGTGCCTCACCAGGTGAGCTCACCGTGCCTCACCAGGTGAGCTCTCCGTGCCTTGTCGACTCGCTCATCGTGCCTCACCAGGTGAGCTCACCGTGCCTCACCAGGTGAGCTCTCCGTGCCTCACCAGGTGAGCTCTCCGTGCCTCGTCGACTCGCTCACCGTGCCTCACCAGGTGAGCTCACCGTGCCTCACCAGGTGAGCTCACCGTGCCTCGTCAACTCGCTCACCGTGCCTCACCAGGTGAGCTCACCATGCCTCACCAGGTGAGCTCACCGTGCCTCACCAGGTGAGCTCACCGTGCCTCGTCGACTCGCTCACCGTGCCTCACCAGGTGAGCTCTCCGTGCCTCACCAGGTGAGCTCACCGTGCCTCACCAGGTGAGCTCACCGTGCCTCACCAGGTGAGCTCACCGTGCCTCGTCGACTCGCTCACCGTGCCTCACCAGGTGAGCTCACCGTGCCTCACCAGGTGAGCTCACCGTGCCTCGTCGACTCGCTCACCGTGCCTCACCAGGTGAGCTCACCGTGCCTCACCAGGTGAGCTCACCGTGCCTCGTCGACTCGCTCACCGTGCCTCACCAGGTGAGCTCACCGTGCCTCACCAGGTGAGCTCACCGTGCCTCACCAGGTGAGCTCTCCGTGCCTCACCAGTTGAGCTCACCGTGCCTCGTCGACTCGCTCACCGTGCCTCACCAGGTGAGCTCCTCGTGCCTCACCAGGTGAGCTCACCGTGCCTCACCAGGTGAGCTCACCGTGCCTTGCCAGTGAGCTCATATTTTCCTTCATGCCCCCCCCTCCCGCCCGTGCCCCCCACCCCGCAGGCCCTGGACGACGCCCTGCGGGACCTGCTGCTGTCTGTGCAGCGCGACCTCTCCGAGCGGCACGCCGCCGCCACCGCGGGGCCCCCCGTGCCCCCCCCGGCCCGGCTGGAGCTGCTCCTCTTGACCCCTGGAGCCCCCCAGTCGGCAGCGGGAGGGGCGGGGGGGGCGGGGGGGGCCGGGGCGTCGGGGGGGGCGGCTCCCCGCCACTCGCTGGTGTTCGAGTTTGGGAGCCCCGAGGGCCGTGCCGCGTTCCAGCAGACGCTGGAGGGGGCCTGCTCCCGCATCGGTGGGGCCTCCGTTACGTTCGCCGTCGCGTCACTGCGCGATCTTAAATAATTAGTCCTTCGCTGTCGTTTGTCCGGCCACAAAGTTTTTATTACTAACGGAATTATTTGACGCTGCCGTTTTGACTGTTTGAGTTATATGCCATGACGAAGGACCATTGCCCGAAACGTTGCCTATTCTGTATTTTCATCTTTGAGGTCACTCATGCACAGTGTGATTGACGAGCGTGTTGTGTTGATGGATGATGGTGGTGTAGCGATGGCGATGGACTTATCTTGATGGTTATATTTACTGGGGCCATTTTAATGATGGTGGTGGAATATTGCTAAAATTTAGAAAATGATGGAATGTTGACAATATTCATGATGGCAGTGATCGTAGTTTGATGATCATGATATCATGGTGATGGTATATTGATGATGGTGGTAATAGTTTTACGGTGATGGTACTATGATGATTGTATTCACGATGATGTTCGTGTGTGTGTGTGTGCGTGTGTTCGTGCCAGCGGAGACTCAGCCCCAGAGAGAACCCGAGTTCCTGAAGGCCATCTCCATCATGAAGACACGCAGCGGCATGCAGGTGCCGGCCCCCCCCATCCCACCCCCTCCAACACCCCTCTAACCCCACCCCGTGCAGTGATTCTCCGCGGGTTTGTGCGTGACGGGAACAGGAACCGCACAATTGCAGGAGTGGTCACTTGGGGTCCCCTTTCAACGGGATTCGGTGTCCCACGAGCAGTGTAGGGAGGGGGCGAGCGGGGGGGGGGGGGTCTCACGGGATTAAAGTTGGGGTTGGGGGGATGGGGGTGGGGGGTGGGGGGGGTGCTCACCTGACGCGAGTTGCCCCTCCAGGCCCCGTGGGGTGTGGCGTGGTTGGGGGGGGGGGGCGGTGTACCGGTGCGTGCCGTGTGACGCGCATGCTCAGCGGTTTGTAATGCGTCATGGTGTGGTGCGTGGTGCGTGGTGTATGGTGCGGCGTGGTGTGTGGTGTGTGGTGTGGTGCGTGGTGCGTTGTGTGTGGTGCGTGGTGTGTGGTGCGTGGTGCGTGGTGTGGTGTGTGAGGTATGGCGCGTTGTGTGGTGCGTGGTGTGTGGGGTGTGGTGCGTGGTGTGGTGCGTGGTGTGGTGCGTGGGGTGGTGCGTGGTTCATGGTGCGGCGTGGTGTGTGGTGTGTGGGGTATGGTGCGTGGTGTGTGGGGTGTGGTGCGTGGTGCGTTGTGCGTGGTGTGTGGTGCGTTGTGTGTGGTGTGTGGTGTGTGGGGCGTGGTGCGTGGTGTGTGGTGCGTTGTGTGTGGTCTGTGGTGTGTGGTGTCTGGTGTGTGGTGCGTTGTGCGTGGTGTGTGGTGTGTGGGGCGTGGTGCGTGGTGTGTGGCGTGCTACCCGGCGTGCACAGTTCTCGTGCGCCTCCCCGAGCGTGTGCGTGCCGCTGGGCGGCTGCGAGGTGTGGGTGTGCAACAGCGACGGCTACGTGGGCCAGGTGTGCCTGCTGAGCCTCACCCCGGAGCCCATCGTCGAGGCCTGCATCGCCGTGTGCTCCGCACGCATCCTCTGCATCGCGCCCGTGCCTGCACTGCAGAAGCCCCCCACCGGGTACCCCCCCCCAAACACCCTCCGCCACTCGTGTACCAGCCCCCCCACCACAGCCATCCCTCCTCCTCTCTCCTTCCCTCCCCTCTCACCTTTCCCACATCCATCCCTCCTTCCTCCTCAACCCCCTTCACCGTCCCCTGCCACTCCACGCAGAGACCTCCACAGTCGCTCCTCACCCATTTACCCCCCCCCCCATCCCGCCCGTGGCACCTCTCCACCATACACAAGTATGGAGAACTGATGATAGTGGCAGTGGTGATGATGGGGTATTTGATGATGATTGCATTTGATGAGATTGATGATGGTGGTTTTGATAGTCCGGATGATGATGATAATAGTTGTGGTGAAGATGTGAATGGTCCTCTTGTTACATGGCAACTGGGAGCACGATAATTATTCTTCTAATTTGACCCATGACGATGTACGCTCACTCCCTTGTGCTTCCTCCTTGCTCCTACCTCTCTACCTCGCCCCCCGCTCCCCCCAAGCAGCGTTGATAGTGGGGGGTCACGGGAGGGAGTGCCGCTCCCCGACTCCCCGCTGCGCCGTCTGCCGACAATCGCCTCCGAGGAGGACCTCGTCTCTCACCGGCACCGCAACGAGCACCGCGACGAGGAGAGCAGCTCCGCTCTCCACATCTGCATCGGCGACGCGGCGCCGGCTGAGCCGTTGCCCATTGCGGTGCGGCGCGAGCGCCACGCGAGCGCGCCGGGCGCCGGCAGGGCGCGCCACCGACGACTCGCCGGCCGCGGCGGCGCCAGCGGCGGCGTCGCCTGCAACCCCTTCGAGAGCGAGGACTCGGGAGAAGAGGAGGAGGAGGAGGAAGAGGAGGACGAGGATGAAGAAGAGGAGCTGGAGGAGCTGGAGGAGGACGAGGCCGGGTCCTGGGGTCCGCACATCGAGCCGTCGCTCGCGGCACTGAGGGGTGCGGCTGTGTGCCTGTGCGTGCGTGCGAGTCAGTCCTGGGCCTCCCCTAGGGTGACTCGGTCTCAAATGAATCCCTGCTGTGGTGTGTAGAACTCAGCAACAGGGAGTGGTGCTGGCCACACCACTCCGTCGTGTGCCGTCTCGGCCTTAATAGGTGCTCGCTAACAGCACTCGCCCCAGCAATTTGTTGATGTTATATGGGGGATCTTTGTCCTTATATCTATGTGTATGTCCGTATATGTCTCCCGCACACATGCCGCACGTGCAGTAGAGGAGCTGAGTGGGGGGGGGCACGTGACCCCCGAGGAGAGCAGCAGCTCGGACGACGACGAGGAGGAGGAAGAGGAGGAGGAGGAGGGGGGGGCAGGGAACCCCTTCCCCCCCACGCCGCCCCCCAACCCCTTCACGGCCGACCCGCCGGGCAGCGCCAGGAGCCCCCCGCTGGGGGGCTTCACGCGACCCAGCCCTGACGAGGCATCGTGCCCGAAGCCCGAACCGTTCCAGGGCTCCGTGTGGCTGGGCACGGAGGACGGCTGGTGCGTGGCGCGGAGTTCGCCCATCATCGGCGTCATCAGCATTGTCATCATCGTCTTCATCGTTGTCACCTTCATTATTGCCACCAGAATTCTCATTGTCATCATCATTACAATAATACATTCAGCATGGTATTTGTTTTAATCATTATTGACATCACCAATATACCCATTATCAGTGCAACTTCCAGTATACCATAATTCCTTCACCATCATCATCGTCATAATTATCATCACAATCACAACTATGAATATTACCTTCATATCATTATCAAAGGACCGCTATCCACGTCATTATGATCATCATTATTGTGACGATCAACCATCGCGACCATCCATATTATTGTCATCATCATCAGCTGGTGGTGGTGGTGACAGCATCCCTGTAATCTGGAGCGTGTTGAGATTGGGTTGGTGGATCACGTCGAGATCATCCCGTGTGTGACTTGGACTTCGCAGTGGCCAGCAGGTGGCAGCAGGGCAAGGGGCGCAAAAAACACCGAGGAATTGGCAGGGAAACCCGGGATGTCCTGAGACTCGGTGGAGCTTTCCCGCACAGACAAAGATAACTGCTTCAAATAAACGAACAAACTAACTGGCAATAACTTTTGTTAAGAATCATCACGTTCATCGACGAGGGAATATTCTGAACCGATGGCTCCCAGTAGCAGCTCTTTATAGGGCAATTGACAAAGCCCCAAAACACAAAGCGCTTATCTTGCCAATCACCTCCTGGGCTGGGTCCTGTGAGCCCCAATACAATAGATCGTGGCTTTGTTCGCCATAAAAATACTTAAAAGTTGCGTTTAAGTGGATCGTTATGAGACGCGAGTGATACTGCAAGATGAAAGCGACGAGGCCACCAGAGTACGCATACAGTGCATATGTGTGACCTATGACTTTTGACCTAAGTCAAGTAAAGCATGACTAAGGATTTTGCCCCTGATAATCTCACATAGTTTTAGACAATTCTAAACTCTCTACCTGTTTTACTTAAATGTTTTAAGTTGGGAACAGATTTGTCAAGAGTGGCCAGGTCATGGGGGGCACTGCCACCTGGGTCCATGAATATCCTGACCCGACCGGGATGGCCTCCGTGGTGTGGAGAAGAGCTGTTGAGGAACGAGTTCGATTGTTGTTGTTGGTTGTTGTGCACCACCACTGCCAACGCAGTGACAGCAGCATCACCACCACCACCACCAGATCGCGTGTCAGCGATTTGAGTCGAGCGTGGGGTTGACTTCCGTGACCTTCGTTCGCTGGGTCAATATTAAGAGGTCAATGTGAAGAGGTCATTGTTAAGATGTCATTTACCGAAAGAACCAAAGAGTAAAGATGTCATTGTTAATAGGTACATTTTAAGAGGTCAATGTTAAGAGGTCAAAGGTCACCCCAGGTGGTGGAGGCCATAGCCACAAAGCTGCATCTCCCGCGGCGGAGAGGGGCACTTTTGGTCAGGTGCGTACTCATTCAGTCCACGCCCCGCTCGTGATACCGGGCTGCGAGCTGCTGAGAGCAATCAACTAGTCACTCCATCCTCTGTGCGCCCTGCCCGCAGCATCCACATCTACCAGTCGTCCGACACGATCCGCCACCGCAAGAAGAGCCTCAAGCTGCAACACTCGGCCGCGGTCACCTGCATCGTGTGAGTCGGAGGGGGGAGCGGTGGCACAACGGTCAGCACACTGCGCAACGAACCCTGCGACCCGAGTTCGATTCCCGCTCACGACCAACACCGGTGGCGCGGATATTTGAACTGGCCTCAAGACTTAAATGAGTACCTACTGCATTGTGTAAAGCATCAGTACTGGGGAGACAAAGGTGGCAGGGCGTGGTGTTGGCCACCCACCCCCTCGTGTGCCGTGCCGGCCTTCATAGGTGCTACTCACTAACAGCACTTGCCCCTACAGTCTGTTCAGGGCTACACGGGGGCTGTTTGTCTTCATGGACTAAGCCGCGCGCATGTGTGTGTGTGCGCGCGTGTGTGTGTGGTTGTTGTGTTGACGTCTGTGTAGGTTCCTGGAGAACAAGGTGTTTGTGTCTCTGGCCAACGGGGACCTTGTGGTTTACCACCGCGACGAAGGTAAGGTGGTGGATCCCCCCTGCTGCTGCTGCTCGTCAAAACTTTCCAACTCAAGTTTTAATCTTCACGTATTGGCTGTGTTCGTCTGTAACGGGAGGGGGGGTGCAGGGTAATTATTGTAAAGTTGATCCGACATATTGAACGATGCGTGCTGCATCAGGTCGTGTTGCCAATAGCGACTCGCCCAAGTGAAATGTGGGCACGTTGAGATTCAACCCACATTGAAACCAGCGCTGATAGACCCCCCCCCCCCCCACTCGGCCTGCCAGCCCTGCCTGTCGAGGCGCGCCCTCCCGGGTAGGGCCGCTAAGCGAGACCCCCTTGGGGTCTCGGCGTGAGCTGCGGGCGTACCGTGGAACGCACTGCGCTACGAAGCCCGCTGGAGATGCGTTCGTTTCCCGGCCACGGCTAAAACGAGTGGCTCAGAGTGAAAATCTGAAAGCGGCCCTACCCCCCCCCCCACCACCAAGTATGGTCAAACAACACCCACCATCGACACGGCGTGGGAGGCATTAATCCAGTAGCGGATTGACAAAAAGGACAGGCAAACAATAATCGCGCCTCATTCTTAATTCCATTGCTTAACCGGGTAAAGTTTCTCGTACTGTGAACATCACGTCACTGCCATCTCAAATTCGCTTACCCGAGGAGACGGAATTTGCATTCGAGCGATCCCCTGAACGAGCAAGTCCAGCGGCGTCTCTCGCGACCCACAGCGGAGACGGTTGTTGGTGCTGTAGTGATCGCGATGTTATTTTTGTTGTTGCCTCGAGTTTCTGTCATGGTCGTTTCTGTGGTCGCTCTGATTTTGTTGTTGTGGCTGCGGTTGTCGGTGGATGTTTCAGTGATTAACGTTGGCATTGTTGTTGTTATTGCCGATATCAGAGTTGTTATTGTTGTTTACCAAGCGCTTTGGTGATTGCAACTATTGTATCTGTTGCTGACACCTCGCTCCCCCCCCCCCCGTCCCCTCCTGTGCCCCCCTTGTGCCCCCCCTCCTGTGCCCCCCGTGCCCCCCCAGGCTGCTTCTGGGCCGTGGGGGAGGCGCGCGTGCTGCCCCTGTCCACGGCGGCTGCCCCCGTGTGCCGCATGCTGGCCGTGAGCGGCCGCCTGTGGTGCGGCTGCCAGAGCAGCATCGTGGTGCTGCACCCCGACTCCCTCCTCGTCGAGGTAACCCCCCCCCCCCTGCCGGACATTCCTCTAACTCCAGTGATTGAGCGTACGGTCGGTCAGTCGGCTGACCGCTCGGTAAATGTACCGATAAGGAAGTGAATCGATCGGTCAGTCAGTCAATCAGTCGGTCAGTTAATACAACAGTTAATGGATAGATAGGTCGTTAAGCTGCACCGACTGACCGCTCGTAGAGACACCGAGGTCACGCAGTGACGCAACGGACAGAACGGTCTCTCCGCCAATCAGCCGGTCAATCGATCAGCCAGTTATCAAAATTAAAAGGGATGATTGAGTCAAACAGCCAGTGGATCGACGACTTCCCTCCCCACGCTCTGGCATGGCCCCCGTGTCACCAACACGACCCCCCTGCTGCGATCTCTCCCCCCCTCCCCCCCCCCAGGCGAGCTTCGTGGTGGACGGGGAGGGGGGCCGCGGCGTGGCGTGCATGGCCAGTGAGGGCTCCGGGGTGTGGGTGGCTCTCACCGCCAGCACCCAGGTGCGACTCTACCACCCCGCCACCTACGAGTGTCTCGCCGAGGTGGACGTCACCGCGGCCGTCTCCAGGATGCTGGCCGGTGAGTGCGGGGGTGGGTGGGGGCCCTTCGGATGGGGGCCCTTGGGGACCCCCGCGAAGAGACGGTGGAGGGAAGGGGGACGCGTTAGGAAATTGACGACGCGTCAGTTTATCGGTTAGTACGGGACGATTATGACTCTTACCTTTGATTAGCACGGTTGGCTACGTGCGGTGTGAAAAGAGTTCAACATACATACAGGTCGTCTCAGCCTTAAATGGGTACCTGGTGCGGTGTGTATCCAACTTCAGCACGAGGGAGACAAAGGCGGTCGGGCGTGGTGCTCGCCACACCGCCCCCTCGTACGATTGACTTCCCAGTCTCCGTATGTGCTCGCTAGCAGCACTTGCCTGAGCAGTGTGTGAAGGCTACCCGGGGGAACTCAACACGCGTACATGACCAACGACGATGACGACGACGACGGTTCTGACAAAGATGACGACGACGCCGTCCTGCCCGCCCGCAGGCTGCGACGCCATCATCCGGCAGCACAAGTCGGCGTGCCTGCGCGTCACCTCGCTCACCCCGGGCGCCGAGCTGCTGTGGGTGGGCACCAGCGCGGGGGTCCTCGTCACCCTGCCGCACCACCGCCTCGCCCGCCCCGCCCCCCGGCGGCACGACCGCAGCCCCCCGCCCCGCCGCCCCCACCCCGGCGGCGGCGGCGCGGGGGGGCCCCCCCAGAGCGCCGAATGGGGGGCCGACGCCCAGCAGCCGGACCCCGAGTGGGGGCAGCACGACTCTGCGGGGAGCCCTGGGCCGGGGGCCCCGTCGCCGCCGCCGCAGCGCTGGCCCGCCGCGGCCCCCGTGGGTTGCCTGCACGGCCATACGGGCCACGTGAGGTTCATCACCAGCGTGCGGCTGCCCGAGGGCTGCGTCTGGGCCCAGCAAGGTACGTCAGCCGAGCGGCCTCGCACTAGGTCCACTTAGCCCGAAATCGCAGGGTGGAGCCGTGCAGACTGCGGTTCGGGTTTTTCCGGTCTCGGATGATGATGCATGCAGGCGGATTCAGTGAGAGTCTGGGTTGTGCTGTCAGTGGCTTCCTGCGTACTTGCATAGAGACCTCGAGACTCACACAGAGACCCAGAGACTCACACAGAGACCCAGAGACTCACACAGAGACCCAGAGACTCACACAGAGACCCATAGACTCACACATAGACCCAGAGACTCACACAGAGACCCAGAGACTCACACATAGACCCATAGACTCACACATAGACCCATAGACTCATACAGAAACTCATACGACGTCTGGACGTCTGGCGCACCATCATCATCTTCATCATCAGGCGTGCACAGCCACTCACCTCTCCTGGCGTGGACGGGCTTCCTCATCCGTGTCCTTGAGTCCGTGCCATGCCGGCACAATTGTGCACAAGATCCAGTTTAATAATAGCGGTTGATTGCCGCTGATGATTGCCTGTGATTGGCAGGTTATGTTCGTGTAATAAGGTGGACTTACTTAGCGGTTGGCGAGACCAGGCAACATTGAATGATGTCGAGGCGTTGGCAGCTTTGTGAGTAATAAGGCTAATGGAGGGTGGCGTGAGACGAGGCGGAACGCCGCCGCCGCCGTGTGAGGCGTTGCAGGCGGTGGAGGAGAGGAGGGGGGTAGAGATCACCCGGGGCAAGTTTCCCCATGACGCCCAGAGACAAATGCGCTCGGGCAGAACGCCGCCACCGCCGCTGCCGCCGCCTCCTCAAGTGGCGCTTGCGAGCTCCGCGCTGCGCCCGCGTGTGCCGGGGAGGGGGAGGCCGAGCGCGGCGCAAACAAAACTCGGCTCGCTCGCCGAGTCGCCCCGTGGGGTTTTTGTGGACTGGAGACAAGTCTCAGGTCATCTCCGTCGCATCCGGCTCACGCCGATGATCACCCACCCCCCTCTGTGCACATAGGGGGAATGATCGCAGAGATAGAAACACAGAGACACGTGATGCAAAACGCGTGCAGGTGATGGTCCAGCCGGATTCACTGCGACCTGCGTCGGGGGGCAGCCCCCTCCGTGATGGTCAGCGGCGCGCTGGACTCGCCAAGCCGAGGTCGCTCGGTCCTGTTCCATCTCCCGGCGTGGCAGGCGGAACAAAGTGGGCCAGGTTTCTCAAACGCCCCCTGTCCACCCAGCGGTGTGAACGGGCTGCGCCCCAGTCGGTCGAGCGGCAGGTGGCGTGCGGTGGGATAAAGTGCGGGTACGCCCAGCTCTCCCAGCACATCGCACCAACGTGGAAGAGTCGACCAAAGGCCAACTCTATATAGAGTTCGCTCGAGGTCCTTCTGCCAGCAAACGAGACATTTCAGGGCTGCGCCTTTACTTCCCATCTTCCCGAAAGTCATGGGATTACTTGTCCATGTGTTTTGTGTTCATGTGGGCACTGAGCCACTGACCCACGATGAGTGAGGAGCAGCTCGTAATTGAACCGGCGCGGTTAATCCTAAGGATAATGGGTACAGGAAAGCCTCAACTGAGTCTCAATACGAGTATTCAAGAGGGTCCTGCATTGGGATGTTTGGATAACTCCTTAAGGAGTGAGTTTAAGCTTTGTGTAGCCTCCACTCAAGTGCCGTTAACGAGCACCAAAGAAGACCGGAATGCCACTCGACGAGGTGGTGTGGCCCCATACTAAATCACACACTCACACACACTCACACACACTCACACACACTCACGCACACACTCAAGCACACACTCACGCACACACTCACACACTCACGCACACTCACACACACTCACACACTCACGCACACTCACACACACTCACATACTCATGCACACTCACGCACACTCACACACACTCACGCACACACTCACACACTCACGCACACTCACGCACTCACTCACGCACTCCCTCACGCACCCACTCGCACACTCACGCACACACTCACACACTCACGCACACTCACACTCACGCACACTCACACACACTCACGCACACACTCACGCACACACTCACGCACACACTCACACACTCACTCACACACTCACGCACCCACTCACGCACTCCCTCACGCACCCACTCACGCACACTCACGCACACACTCACACACTCACGTACACTCACACACTCACGCACACTCACACACTCACACACACTCACGCACCCACTCACGCACCACTCACACATCCACACGAAGAGACCTCTCCCCCTTATAGCCTTAACAGGCTATGATCAGGCGAGTGCTATTCGCGAGCATCTATGAAGAGCGGCACAGCACACCAAGGAGTGGGTGGCCAGCAACACGCCCAGCCGCCTTTGTCTCCCTAGTGGCGATGTTTATGCAGCCCACCAGTTACTCGACCTAGCCGGGAGGCCCGGGACTGGTTCAAATATCGCTCCCTGCTTTTGGCCGCGAGCCGGAATTGAACTTGGGTCGCCGGGCTTGTAGCGCAGCGCGCTAACCACTGCGTCACCACTCACCCCCTCGCCCACGCACTCTGCAGGAATCTCTGCGTCTCGGAAAGAGACACACGAGCTGCCCCCCACGCCCCCCCCCCCCCCCCCGAATCTGGATCTCGGGTTCCAGCTCCCACTGCGGCCCCCTCAAGTATTAATGAGAAGTGCTGACTCGACGCTGGGGAGAGGTGGGTGGAGTCCTTGGATCTGGGGTCATTGTAGGCCCTGCGAGTTCTGAGATCTGAGATCGCGAACCGGCGGCGTTGGTACCACCGGAGGTGACATGCTACCAGTGTCCGCCATGGACAGTGTCCACCACGTGTAACGTCCATCATGGGAGGTTGACCCAGCCCATCATCCCTTCCATTCGGGAACGACAAAATAGGTTCTATGCTGTGGAGGAAGTCCACAGGGGGGTTGTGCTCTAGGCGGACTCGCCCCCTTCCCCACCCCCTCCCATAGAGACGTGGAATGTGGAATTTCCACTCCTGGCTCTGTCGGCCTGTAAACAGGAGAGGCGCTCCACTTGAGCAAGACTCCCCTCTCTCTCCCTCTGTGCCACCTCCTCTCTCGTAGACGGCGGCCACCACGGCCTCCCTTCCATTGAGCTCTGTCCGTATTGACGTGAACTCAACGACTCCGCATCGGGTCCCCCTGCCAGTGGCGCCCAATCGGTGTTTTCTCATCACGGGTCCAAGAAATCTAACTCGCCTTCTTCTCTAATAGCTCCTGGTCATTGTCTGAAGTAATAACATCACTCTCATTCGTGTCTTTACTGCTGGTGAATTTGTAAAATTGTATCACAGAGGAGGAGGCTTCTTAGCGGTTGGGCAACCTCACACGAAGGCGGCAGCTCGTGACGTATCGGCAGCTGGGGGGGGGGGGTGAGGAAGTGGGGGGGGGGTCACCTTCATTGTGAGCGAGCTCCGATTAATCTCAGTCGTTCACTGCCGCCGCGCGCCCGAGGGTAATTTGGCGAACGCGTGACTCACTCGGAGGCAGGTCTTTGTTTGCTGCGTTACGGGGTTCGGCCGAATCACATTAATAGCGCCAACGGCTGTTCTGTTGCTGCCGTCAATTTGGGGGAATTTGCGTATTTCTGTCTCGGCCTGCTGGGAAGGAAATGTCGTCACAATCACCGCCGTGACAGCGCGCGGCCAGGAGTCAGCCCTGGTAAGAGGAAGGCAGCGTTCGGTGGGGGGGTGGGGGCTTCATCCAGCAGTGGACGGATCATGGCTGCTGCTGCTGATGTTTGTTGATCACGGCTGATGATGAGCATGATGGTGATGCTCATGGTTATCGTCATAGGGTGGCCTTCATCCGGCAGTAGATTATTTAACTATCTAGTGTGTGTGGAGCATTTTAGACTTGGAGGGGGGAGGGGCCATGACGTGGACGCTGAATTCTTCCCCCCCCCAGCAATCATTTGATGATGGATGATGATGGTGGTGATGGTGGTGGTGATGATGGATGATGATGGTGGTGATGCTCACAATGATGAGTAAATCAGATACCGAAACCGGGTTGAGGTTTGTGGTGCAGAGTTGATGTCTGATGACGTCACAGTGGAAACTGGAGGAGACCCAAGTGTGTCACCAAGAGACGCATACTTGTAAAGGAAGGGCCTTCTAACAATGGAGAGAGCTTATGGCTCTGTTTACAGGATGCTGGTGGTGGTGGTGAATATATATGCGGAATTGTGTAATTGTCTATGTTCCCACAAACGCATGTCAATGTCTCTCTGTGAGCCACGTTCTCTCTCATAGAAGTCGCGATCGTGGCCGTCTTTCCACTGAGCTCTGTCCATGAGATTTACTCAACGACTCTGCATCGGATTCTCCTCCCAGTGGCATCCAATCCTTCTCATTGCTCGTGGAACTCAATTCGCTGTCTTCCCCGGTTTCTTGTACCCGTCAGAACCACTTTCATACTCGGCCTCTTGTTTGCTCATCGCAGGTCCAAGAAACCTCACCCTGCCCGTCTCTAATAATGATTCTCATTCATGTTCTTGTTGTGCACCCTGCTGCTGTCCATGACGCATTCGTGTTTCTGAATACGCATACTGCACTCCGCTGTTCCTACGGCGGTTGTCTGGATTGACCACCTGAATCTGAAAGTGTCGTTGTTGCTTTTCATCTATATCGGCCGTACGATAGAAGAAGAAGATGCATACGTTTAAGTGGTTCGCCCACTGCGCTACAAATGAACCAGGTTCGATTCCCACTCACGGCTAACATCAGTGGCTGTTATGCTCCTCCCTCCCTTTCCCTCTCCCCTCCTCTTCTCCCCCTACCCCCCTCCCCCCTGTGCAGGAGGCCCCGTGGGGGCCCCCGACCAAACCCCAAAGGCGCCGCGTCGCGACTCGGGGAAGCGGTTGCGCTCGAGCGGCTTGCCGGGGGTCCTGGGGGGCGCGGGGCCCGCGGGGGGCCACGCGGGGGGCCCCGGGGCACTGCTGGTCATCAGCGGCGGGGACGGCTACGAGGAGTTCACAGGGTCACCGAGCCCCGGCGGAGACGATGCCGCGGGGAGGGACGACAGCACCAACCACCTGCTGCTGTGGAGGGTCTGAGCCAGGCCCTGGGTCGACACCGGGTGGGCCCCTGGGACACGTGGCCTCCAGTGTGCAGGGTGGGCCCTTGGACGTGTGGTGGGTCCTGCGCACGTGGCCGCCACACTGAGTGGGCCCATGGGACACGTGGTGGTGGCGCCCCTGGGACACGTGGCCTCAGCACAGGGTGGGTGCTCGGACAAGAAATCTCCATGCAAGTGGCGGGCCTTAGGCAAGTGGCCTTTGCATTGAGTGAGCCTCGAGCATACAGGGTGGGCCCTCGGACACGTGTTTACTGAACAGGGTGGGGTGCTTTGTACGCAGTAGGTCCTGGGTACGCGTCCTCGTACTGAGTTTGCTCCTGGGGTGGGTGGCCTTCGTACAGGGTGGGCCCCTGCCACGTGGCTTCCACTACACATCGTGGGCCCCCGGGCTCGGTGTGGTCCACACAGGGTGGACCCTGAGCACGTGGTGGGGCCTCCAGGCCACAGGGTGGGCTCCTGGGCCATTTGACAGGCCCTGGACATGTGGCCTCCATGCAGGGAGGGCTGCTTGGGTGAGTAGCGTCTACACAGTGTGGCTCGTGGACATGTGGTGGGGCCCCTTAATGTGGCCTCCACTGCACAGGTGGGCCCCTGAACGCGTGGTCTAACGCAGGGTGGGCCCCCGGGTGGGTTTGGATCACAGGCAAGTGACTCCAGATTGCAGGAAACATCCCACGTGGTCCGCTGATTTGGCGAACCTGATGGCGATGCTCCTTGTGTGCCTGATGCCGGTGTTTGACCCAGGTGAGAGGCCAGTGAGGTCTGCCATCTGTCTATTGTCAGGGAGACCTGGGAGCCATAGGGAACACCCACCCACAGGCTCAGCGGCTCTCTGGGTCTGCTGCCTTCCTACCCCTCCACTCACTGCTGTCCCTCACTGCTGTCCACTGCTTCCTGGGCCCTGCCCCTCGGTCTCCACTGGGGTCCACCTGCATTTCCGCTGTAGACCAAACCCGTATTTAGTTCTCAGTCGGCACTTGGTCCGTTAAAGTTCTGCACAATTAGCACCGCACCTTGGGACAAATAAATTCCTGCCACCCGAAAACCGAGGCCGGTTCCCAGATAGGCGGCCACCCCAGTCTCTATCCTCCCCGAGGTTTCCACGCTCATCACCGTTCGTCTTCGGTTGTGGTTTTCCATTCTTCTTGCGACGATATATCCTGCCCGCCCCCCCCAAGCCGTCCGAGTCGACACGATGGGTACCGCTCTGGGCTAGACGAAGCCGCGGGTCACCGTCATCGCCGTCAGCCACGGTCAATCCACTGCTGGATGAAGGCCTCTGCACGCCGCCGTCACGCCTCTCACGGCCCCACGTCGTGAACGTGCTGCGTGACGATGCCAAATCTGAGGGCGCCTTGAAGCAGCGGCTTCCACCCCGAGCGAGGTTCACGTTTGGCGTCTAGAGGCATCGCTTCTCTTCGTCTAAATTTAGGGCGGAGGGGAAGAGGTCACCCCCTAAAGATAGACGCGGGGCTGTTTGGAGTGAGAAGTGTCCGGTCGCAGCCACAGCTACGCAAGATGGCGGCCGGTGATGCCACCGCAGCTCGCCAGGGCTTCACGGCCTCCGCAGGTAGAGCCGCCACACTGTCCCCTGCAGACTCAACCCTGACGGATTGCTCAGCCGCCTCGCGGTTGCGAGACGGTGCGGTGTACGGACGGTTCAGTTCAATGCAGTGACACCGGAACCGGATTTTGGTACAAACCGATCCCCACTGCCTTGCGAGCACGGACTCCGAGTCCCGGATGGGTGTGTGACCCGAGCCTCCTCCAGAAGATCTCCGCAGCTCCTGCTGCTCCTGCTGCTGCTGCTGTCACACAGTAGACACGCGACCCCTAGGGTCTGCCCTGTCAGTGTCCCTCCATCTTCCCTGAGGACTTCCCCTCGGTAGGAGAAGTCCATATATCCTGGTGGATGACTCCACGGTTGAAAAACAACGGAGCGAGGATACAGCTGCGAGTTTAGAGGGTTTGGAGAAGCCATCCGATGGAGTCCATTTGTGCCTCCCGCGAAAGTGCGCGGTGTTGGGCAACGATCGGTGACATCAGTGATGGATTGTGTTCCACCACAGTCATGCTGAAACGCACATCGACTCACATAGAGATCCATAGACTTGCATAGAGACCCATAGGCTTACATAGAGACCCATAGACTTACATAGAGACCCATAGACTCGCACGGAGACCCATAGACTCGAGACCCTGTGGGTGGGAGACTCCTTGTAGTTTGGGCCCCCGTGGGCTGGGTGACACGTGTCGAATGGAGGAGGGCCCCTCGGGACGAGAGATCCCGTGCGCTGAAAGGGGTAGGAGGAGGAGTGTAGGGGCGGGGGGTACCTTGCGCTGAAGGATGAAGGGTCCCCCGTTGGCTCGAGGCGGACCCCGTGCGTGGGGTCACGTCTCCCCCTTGGAGAGATGGAGGGAGAGTGGGGGGGGGGTGTGATGGGCCGCGGTGTGGTAACACCACCGCTGCTGCTGCTGCTGTATTGTCAATAGAGGACACATTGCGCCACCCGCAGAGGCTTTGCACAACGCGCCCGCGCTCAGGAGCGCCCAGGGTCTCGGTTGGACACCGCGACGGGGTCCGAGGCGAGCAGAGGCGCGGGCTTGGAGAGAGGGAGGGGGGTGTGGGGCAAAGGATGGGCGGTGGGGGCGAGGTGACGTGGGGTGATGTGGGTCGTGCTGCGGTGATGTTATCGGCTGTGATGTTGACAGCCCTTTGGGACGGGTTGGGAGTGCGTGATGGTCACGTGGTTCGTTTGTTGTGATCGCGCCGTTGGCGTGATTGGCGCTGTCATCGTTCAACTGCGAGCGCGATCGGCCCCTCCCCTCATCCCTCACATCCATAACAGCCCCCCCGCCCCGCCCCCCCCACCTCGGTTCACCCCCCACGGTCTCCACGATCATCATCCCCCTCTTCTCATGGTCATCATCAACAGCTTCACCATCAACAACTTCATCAACAATGTCATCATCAACAATAATTTCATCAGTCGCAGCGTCATTACCAATATCACGATCAGCGAAAGCGCCATCATCGTGAACGTAATCGTCTTTATCATTATCAGTGTCAGCATCATCATCGTCATCAACAGCACCATCATCTTCAACGTCAATAATCACGGTCATCATCAGCAGTATGAACATCGTCATCATCAGCATAGACGTCATCCTCATCAGATCTTCCTTTTTAGAGACGCCCTGGGCAGAGGCTCGTGGTTGTCCCTGAGTTCTCGAACCCCGACCACCATCTCCATCACTACCACCATCACTACCACCATCACTCTCACTACCACCACTACTACCATCACTAGCACCATCACTACCACCATCACTACCACCATAAATACCACCACCTCCATCACTACCACCATCACTACCACTATCACTACCACCATCACTCTCACTACCACCATCACTACCACCATCACTATCACTACCACCATCACTACCACCATAAATACCACCACCTCCATCACTACCGCCATCACTACCACTATCTCCACAACTACCACCGTCTCCATCACTACCGCCATCACTACCACAACCCTTGACACTTTCCTAATTTTTGCCACCAACAAATCGTCACCAGCACCGCAGCCATGGTCACAGTTATCGTCACCACCGCCTGCACCGCAACTATAATGGCAACCGTCATCATCGACACGTCATCACCACCACCACCAACCACCATCATCACCATTATCCCCCATCACCACCATCCACCATCATCACCATCATCCCCCATCACCACCATCCACCATCATCACTATCATCCCCCATCACCACCAACCACCACCATCACCCCCCACCACCACCAACCACCATCATCACCATTACCCCCCATCACCACCAACCACCATCATCACCATTACCCACCATCACCACCAACCACCATCATCACCATCATCCCCCATCACCTCTGACAACGGCTGCACCATCGCCACGTCGCCTGCAGCTTTGTGTAAATACGCGCCTGTACATTTTGTACATTCGACAATTAGCGAGACGTGTAAATGCCACCGTTCCCGACTCCGCTACCCTCCCACGCCGAGGGGGGTGGGGGTGAGGACAGGATTCACGGGGAGAAGATGCACCGACATTTGTACATAGAACGCACATAGCTAAAGACAAAGACCCCCCCCCCCCGTATAGCCTTACACGCTATTGGGGCAAGTGTTGTTAGCGAAGCACCGATGGAAGCCGGCACGGTACACGACGGATCGGTGTGGCTACAATAACGCGCCCGGCCGCATTTGTCTCCCCAGTGATGATGTTTACACACTGCATCAGGCACTCGATTAACGCTGAGTGGACCTAGGGGGAGGCCTGTTATAACAGACACGGTTTGTACGTACCGCTGATGTTACCCGGGAAGTGAAACCAGCTCGCTGGGTTCGTAGGCGCAGTGAGCGAAAAACTGCGCCATTGCGTTGCACGCACGGACACGCACACACACGCACGGACACGCACGCACAAACGGATACGCACACACGTACATATTCGCACATATCCAACAAAGATACAGACCCCCCGCTCGCATAGCCTGTAACAGACTGTCGGGGCAAGTGCTGTTAGCGAGCACCAATGAAGGCCGGGACGGCACACGATGGTGTGGGTGGCCAGCACCACGCTCGGCCGCCTTTGTCTCCCTTGTGATGATATTTACACCGCACCAGGTGACTGATTTAAGGCTGAGTCAACCTAGGGGAGGCCCGTGACCGGTTCGGATAATCGTCACTGATGTTAGTCGTGTGTGTAAATCGAACTCGGGTCGCCGGATTCTCACACAGACACACACACCGTTGTAGTACACACGCACAGACACACAGACACACACACCGTTGTAGTAAGCACGCACAGACACACGCACAGACACACACACCGTTGTAGTACACACGCACAGACACACACAGACACACACACCGTTGCAGTACACACGCACAGACACACACGCAGACACACACACACCGTTGCAATAAACACGCACAGACACACACGCAGACACACACACACTGTTGTAGTACACACGCACAGACACACACACTGTTGTAGTACACACGCTCCAGTGCGAACCCTCTTCACTATAATATCGAGGCTGCTCACGACGACCCGGACGAGTCGTCGAGTCGATGATGACGCCGAACCAATTATCATCCAATTAGCACCTCCGACGCACGTGACTGTCACGCGGACGCCATAGTACGTCGCAATGCTTGACACACTAAGACAAAGATTCCCGTATAGCCTTAACATATTTTTGGGGCAAGTGCCGTTAGCGAGCACCTATGAAGGCCGGTACGGCACACGAGGGGGTGGGTGGCCAGCACCGCACGCACCACGCACACGTGTATGTGTAAGTGGTATGTACTGTGTATGTGTAAGTGGTATGTACTGTGTATGTGTGTGTGTACAAGGGAGAGCGAGCGCAGGAGAGGCCCTTTAAGCTCACCGGCTCCCCCCCCCCCTTTCTTCCGAGTTGCCTGCGCGCAGCTCCCCACGTATTGCACTCAACGAGACGGAATATCGGATGAGAAGTGACGAATTAAAGGATGGTAATCGTCGTGAGAGTGTGCGTGGTTTGTTGGTGTCGTCGTTGCGTCAATTATCTCCTGCTGCTTAAATCAGCAATGGGGCATCGGTGCTCCTCTGACATGTACGGCCCTGCAGAGTCGGTGGGTGGAAATTACACATTCCTGTGGCGGGGGTGAGTATTCATAGGAATAGCCGCTGTTGCCTTTCCCAGCTGCTGATGCATCATCGGCGAAAGTGCCCCCCACTCCCCCTCTGAAAATGTGTCAAGAAAATTGCCGCAGAGGCTTCCCTGTGGTCGGAGGGGGGGGGGGTTAGGGGGCGATCGCCTCCAGCCCCCACCCCCTGGATCCCCCACTGGAGGGGAGCCAATTTGGGTGGCCACCTTCTCCGCTGCCGACACAAGCGAGACGATGTTCGCGGTCGGCTCTGGGTGTCGTGTCGACACAGCAAGGGCACCGCGTGCCAGGTCTCGGGACCAAATCTCTCGCTGCTGCCACCCGAACACGGATGACAATTCCCGAACTGTAGCGGGACAGGTGGACATCCCAAGCATATCCCACCGGGTCAAACCACCAAAGTGGTGCCAATCGTGTTGACCCCCCGGAGGGAGAGATGATGGGCGAGTCACTCGAGAAGTTTGGAGATGGTTGATGGAGTGGTGGTGGCGCGGAAGTTTTCGGGGCGATCGGAGTGACGGATGTTTTTAGTAGCGGACTCACTCCCAATTTCAGCGACTGAGGGACGGGAACGGACTGGAAGGAGGCAAAGGACGAGGTGAGGATACATGACGGCGAGTCCTCGTTCAACAAGCGGTGTCCACGCGATTACGCATTTTCGCTATGGGGCCGTCCATAAATGACGTCACGCACCTAAGGGGGGGGGGGGGTGAGAAATGTGACGTCACATCAAAATGCGCAACTTTAAATGAATATAGACAACACTTAATTAAATAGACTTTTTAATCAATGTTTTCTCCTACAACATCAGAGTGCAGCGCTACATTAAATACGCACTACAATGACAATAGTTTAAAGCGATTTGAAGCATGTTTTATTTTGGGGGGGGGGGCAGAGCTATGTGACGTCATATTTCAGGGGGGGGGGGTCTGACTTTTCGTGACGCTGTGTGACGAGGGTGGGGGGGGTCAAAAATTGTCCAAAATCGCGTGACGTCAATTATGGACGGCCCCTATAACGTGTTTCTTCCATTCAGGAACACTTGCCGCACAATACGGGACGTGCTCCGTTATAACGCGGTTTCTGAGCGGCTGACGACGAAGTACTTTTTGGAGCAGCGCGGCTGAGCGGTGCGACACAATCTGCGTTCCCTCAGTTACTTGTCCCGTCGTCTCGCTGTGTGTGCGTCGTACTTGTCGTAGTTGTCGCCAAACTTCACCACTACATTATTTTTGGGGAATTTTTTTCGCTTAAAGCGTTTTTCGCTGAACGCGGCACTTTTCAGGAACGCATCTACTGCGTTAAACGAGGACTTACTCGACTGCGAATTCCTCAGCGCAATTCGTGAGAGCGCGGGCTGCCAGGAGATCCAGGGGAGCGGGATTATTTTATTATTATTGTTATTGTATCGAGGAGTTGATGGTTGCGCTGGGGACCTCTCGTGGTTGCGAGAGGGAGGAAAGAGAAGCTTGGGGCGTTGGGCCACGAGGGCGACACGCAGGCAAGTGGCGCCAGCCTCACCCTGGGACGGGAATAAAAGGCGCGCGGTTGTGGTGGAATCCCCCCCCCCCCACCCCTGAGAGACGTCATCATGCGCCAGTGTGTACAATGTCGGTACTATGGGTGGGGAGCGGTGGTGCGGTGGTTAGCACGCTGTGCTTCCAACTCGGCAAACCGAGGTCCATTCCGCTCACGGCCATCACCGGTGACGATTATCTGAACCGGTCCTGGGCCTCCCGTAGGTCAACTCAGCCTCGAATGACGACCTCGTGCAGTGTGTGCCACTCACCTCCTCCTGTGCTGTATCGGCCCAGATAAGTGCTCGCATAGTAGCACTTGCCCCGTAAGCCTGTGTAGCCTATACGGGGAGTCTTTGTCTTTTTCACGTCACTGTGCAGACGCGCGCGCTCCGGCCAGTCACGCACGTCCGACGCGTTACGTCACTACGCCACAAAAAAACACGTCACTCCCCTTTCCCCCTCCCCCCTTTCCCCCCTCCCCCCCTTTCCACCCTACCCCCCTTTCCCCCCTCCCCCCTTTCCCCCCTCCCCCCTTTCCCCCCTTCCCCCCTCCCCCTCACGTCCGCTCTCCCGTCCCCTCCACCACGCTTCATCCAACACCCGGCACCCGGCACAAAGCGACAGACAGAGCGAGAGAGAGAGAGAAGAGAGCAGGCAGACGAAAGAGACCCGGGGAGAGAGCAGGGGAGAGATCTAAACGTAGAGAGAGAAGCGAGGAGACACGCAGGGAGAAACAGGGAGGGAGACGAGCAGAGAGAGAGAGAGACACGCGGGGAGAGACGCGCAGAGAGAGAGACCCGCGGAGTGACCGAGAGAGGCGGGGAGCGAGACACGCGGGGAGAGACGCGCAGAGAGAGACACGCGGGGAGACGAGCAGAGAGAGAGAGACACGCGTTTGAGAGACGAGCAGAGAGAGACACGCGGGGAGAGACGCGCAGAGAGAGAGAGAGAGGCGGGGAGCGAGGGAGAGACGGTGGAAGAGACGGAGAGACGGGGCCGGGGAGTCGGGAGAGTCGGAGGAGTCGCGCCGCGGAGCGAGGCTCTGCGGAGTCCGAGGAGCAGGGTGAGTGACGAGGAGGAGAGACGTGGTGATGGTGATGATAGTGTTGATGGTGATGATGGTAATGATGGTGATGGTGATGAGTTTGTGTTGATGATGAATGGCGGTGATTGAGGACCCCTGTGCACGTGGCGCAGTGGTCGCGGATGAGGTTCCGAGCTGGGAGTGAGACACGGAGACACTGGCACGCTACGCGGATACAGAGACACGGGGACGCGAGGAGAGACACGGAGACACTGGCACGCTACGCGGATACAGAGACACGGGGACGCGAGGAGAGACACGGAGACACTGGCACGCTACGCGGATACAGAGACACGGGGAGGCGAGGGGAGACACGGAGAACCAGGGACACGCGGACACTAAGATAGAGAGACACAGCGACACATAGACACGGAGAGACGGACAGACACACTGGGACGCAGACGCATGGGGGACACGGGCACAGAGAGACACAGCGAGACACTGAGACACACTGACACTGAGACACAGAGACACACTGAGACACAGTGACACAGTGAGACACAGATACACACTGAGACACAGAGACACACTGAGACACAGTGAGACACAGAGACACAGAGAGACACACAGAGACAGTGAGACACAGTGAGACACAGTGAGACACACTGAGACACAGAGACACACTGAGACACAGACACACAGAGACACAGTGACACAGTGACACTGAGACACAGTGAGACACACAGAGACACAGTGACACAGAGACACACTGAGACACAGTGAGACACAGAGACACACAGAGACAGAGAGAGACACGGCAACGGGGCCATGGGGAGACAGAGGCACGAGACACGTCTCTGGCTGGACGGACTCGGCGTGCCGCCACCGGCTGATGCAGCCGGGTGAGTCACGCGGTGCCCGGCAGTGGTTCTGGCTCGAGGCGTCAGTCCGAGCCGCGGCACGGCACGATGCGGCATTCAGCCACGCGCTGTGATTTGGAAGACCGCGGTGGAGATGAACGCATACACAAAGGCACGCGTACATGCACAGTTACACACGTGTACATGTATAGTGCACATACACAGGACACAAATAATACATGTAAACTTACATACAAAGGCAAAGATACCCCGTATAGCCTAAACAGACTGTTGGGGCATGTGCTGTTCGCGAGCACCTGTTTCGGTCGGGACGGTGTGGCCAGCACCGCTAGCGATCGCCAGCGCTGATGCTTACACATTGAACCAACACCACACTGGTATTCGTTTAAGGCTGAGTTGATCTAGAGGAGGCGCATAACCGTCGCCCGTGGTTGAGACTTGAGTCGAGGTTGATGGGTTCGTGGCGCAATGCGCTCACCACTGCGCCATGGATTCTCATTACCCACACACACAAAGACGAAGATCCCCCGTGTAGCCTTGAACAGACTGTTGGGGCAAGTGCTGTTAGCGAGCCCCTATGATAGGCGGCACGGCACACGCTGGAGTGGGTATTCAAGGCTACGCCCAGCCGTCTTTGTCTCCCCGACGTGCGGTGTGTAAATGTCAGTTTGAGGTTGAGCCGACCTAGGGGAAGCCCAGGACAGCTTCAACTATTCGTCAGTGTTGTTGGTCGCGAGCGGGAATTGCTCTCGGTTCACCGGGTTCATAGCGCAGTGCTGCAGCGCGAACCACTGCGCCACGGCTTGAACCCATTGCCACCAGCATCGCCCTTGTGCTCCAGCTCGGTGCTTGCGATGCAACAGCGCGGCTCTGCGATCGCCTCCAAATAAAAAGGACAACGGTTCGATCCCGGAGCCATCTGCCCCCACCCCCCACCCATGCTCCCCCCCCCCCCCCCCCCCCGCTGAGACAGAGAGCAGTTTAATTTGCATGAGTGGTGTAAAGTTTCCTAGAGTCTGGCACCGGAGAGCGTCAGGGCTCAGTGGCTGGCTTTGTGGGATGATTGCGGACACACTCCCATTGGCCATGTTCATGTGGAATTTCCAGCATTGGCTCAGGTATCACCTCCCTCTGGATGTACGAGCCCCTCTCGGTGAGCCTGAGTCTGGCACCGTGAGCCTCGGCAATTCAGCCCGGCGGATTTATACAACGTCGTCTCCAGACGCGGCACTCAGCCGCTCGGCATGTTTCTTATGTCGGGAAAGGCACACGGTCATAGGTCTCTATGCAAAACTTCGGGTTTCTGTGCGAGTCTGCGCCTCTGTGTGACTCTAAGGGTCTGGGTCTCTGCGCGAGTCTATGCATCAGGATACAATGTTGTGTATTTTGTAGAGCAAACAAGGGAAGTGTTCATTCTGCATGGAGTTGAGCAGGGGCATGGGGTCTGTGGGTCTCTGTGTGAGACTGTGGGTCTCTGTGTGAGTCTATGGGTCTCTGTGTGAGACTGTGGGTCTCTGTGTGAGTCTATGGGTCTCTGTGTGAGTTTGTGGGTCTCTGTGTGAGTCTATGGGTCTCTTTATGAGTCTGGACCTCTGTGAGTAGAGTCTGCTTCAGGTTCCGATCAGACGCGGACCACGTGCACAACAAAACAAACAAAGGTCCCCGTACAGCCCTAACAGACCGTTGGAGCAAATGCACCAACACACACCCACGTGGGTGGCCACCCCTATTCTCTCCCTCCCTGAGCTCTCATCGCTTTCTCTCTCTCTCTCTGCCCCCCCCCCTCTCTCTCCCCATCTGTCATACCCTCCCCCCACGCTTCCAACTCGCTCCTCCACCCAATCCCATCTCCACCTCCCCCCCCATCATCGCTTTGCCATGCCTTCCCCGCGTGACACCCCGCTCTGCCATCACGGAGTTCCGCGCTGTCGCCAGCAGTGCGATATCGTCTCACGTGACTCCCGTCGCTCATTGGTGATGGCGACATCGCGATCACCAACTCGCGGGGCTCACAGCTCCGACCTTTGCCTCTGACCCTTGCCCCTAGCCCCTGACCCTAACCATTGACCCTAGCCCCGACCCCTAGCCCCTGACCCTAGCCCCTGACCCTAGCCCCTGACCCTTGACCATAGCCCTTGACCCTAGTCCCTAACCCTAGCCCCTAACCCTAGCCCCTGACCATTGACCCTAGCCCTTGACCCTAGCCCGTGACCCTAGCCTCTAGCCTCTGACCCTTGACCCTAGCCCCCTAACCCTAGCCCCTAGCCTCTGACCCTTGACCCTAGCCCCTAACCCTAGCCCCTGTATCGAGCGAGTCGTCACCATAACCCGAGCTCGCCATTGCCCTCACGCGAGCCCTGACCGTGCCCCTAACTAGAATGCTGGTCCGAGCCCCCTGACCTCTCCAAAATAATTACCACGAACCAGAGAGTAGAGCCCGAACCCAAATCTAACCCTGACCCTAACGCCACCGTGAGACCTAACTCAGTCTTAACACTGACCCGAGCTCTTTCCCTAACTCGAGTGTTAAATGCCAACCCAACCCCTAGCCATAAGCCAATCCCTTAAACCGAATGCTAGCCCTAACATTAGCCCCAACACTATCCCTACCACAACACTCGTTCGAACCACAAACCTAGCCTGAACCTTAGCCCTATACCGCACCCCCGATTACCACGGTTGGTACGTATGGTGCGAAAGAGGTTCAACATAAATACAGCCAGATCTAGACCAAACTTTATTCCACAAACTTCTACCCTTGCCCTAACCGACCCTACCCGTAGTCACAACCTAGACATAACCCCAGACCCTCAGCATCACTCTACCCCGAACCTTGACTCGGACCGTTCAATATGCGTCAGGCTGAGCGGTGGCGCGTGGCAGCAGCCAGGACGTCCCAAGGAGAGATGGAACCACGCGAATTGGATTCGCTCCCTCTGTTTACCACCTCGCGTCGTGTCGAGTCCACGCAGCGAGGCCTGGGGGGAGGTCCCCGTTGAGCAACGGGGATGGCATCTGAGTGGTGTCGCAAGCCCGCGCTCCCATAGCGCACGCTCCTCCATCGCGGGATATCGCCACCATCGCTGTCGTCATCGCTGTCAACGCATCCGTAAACAAGCCCTGCCCCCGCTGCCCTTATCTACCCCCGCTGCCCTTATCTGGCCGTGCTGCCCTCATAGGTCGGATGTCAGGCGAGGGTCGTGAGGATGCGGACGAAGCCGAGCCACCTTTACCTCTACCTGCCCGCGGTGTCGTGTCTACTCGTGGTACGTGTCACCACCACCACCACAACCACCACCACAACCACCACAACAACAACAACCTCGAGTTCAGCATTGGTGTGGTGCTGCAGGGCTCACTGCGCTGTTTCCGACAAAGGCCAGACCGTCCCCTCGTGCAGGGTGTCTCTTCCTCCAGGGCAGTGGTCCCATCAGATGAAGCATGCACACTCTCGGAATCTTACTGTTCAGCCGCCACGTGTGCGCTCCATTCACCCGCAGTAAGGCATCAGTGAGTGATGTCGACAGGAGCGGTAACTACGTTAGTAGCGAGAGAAGAGTGACACGGGGGCGATTGACCGCCGGTGAGCGAGTGAGTGGGGTGAGCCGTGGCCTCCGGGCTTGGTGGCTGATTAATGAGATCCCCTGCACCCCCCCCCCCCCTAAGGTGATGGGGCTGCCCCCGGCACTGCCCCTCCCTGCCCCTTGTGCCAAGCACGAGTACCGGGACCCCCATGGGACCTGCGCCCCCTGCCCACGCTGCCCCCCCGGGCAGGAGCTTGACCAGGTGAGTGGCAGTACAGAAAGTGGGTTTCGCTAACCCACCTGTGTGACCCTCTGAGCGCTGTCACCTTGCGTAACAATAACGAAGTTGTAACGATGTTTCATTGTTAATCGGTGCCGTTCGTTCAACTTGCGGCCGATCAGAACCCCGCGGTAGAATCCGTGACGCGGCGCAGACGGGTGCTCGGGATGGCAGCCGCAGCTGGCGCTAGCAAAATGTCCCAAGCTCTGTGGTCCTGTATTGGGACGTTTGTTCAACTCCACCAGTGAGTGTCTTTGTGTGCGTGGCTGGGGGGTCATTCTGGCTCTGGGGTTTTTTTGCCACTCGAAGTGGAAGTCGCGTCACTTTCGCAAACGTGGATCCGTCCCCGTCTCTCGAGTTCTCACCTGGTCTACAACAAAATCAACTTGGCATCTGAACTCGCTCTCACGTCATCCAACTCTATTACTTACCCGCTCACCCACCATCTCACTCGCCCCATTGATTCACCCACTCACTCGTTCTCCCACACACTCATTCACTCACTCACTGTTGACAATAAGACCCCATCCTGGTCCCTTGCATCTTCACCCAATTCATCAAAACAAACGTGAACCTTGGACAATGCTTATTTTAAAATAATATAAGGAATTGGCCAAACATCCAAATGTAGCAGGACCCTCTTGCCAAAAGAGTCTTGGGACTCGGTGATGCTCTTCTGGGTTAACGAGCACGTGACATCGTCAGTGGTACGGCACACGCATGGCCAATAGAACGCATTCCACATGCGGCACTTTCCAGATAGATCGCGACGTCGCAGGAACCTCAAAGATGGCAACAGTTTGGGGGGGGGTGGTTGGGGATGGGACTTGATCCAGCAGCAGATACATCATAGCTGCTGTTGCTGATGATGGGGATGAGCCAGACCAAGCCAGCCATTGCGTGGCATGGGCAGGCGTCATGTGGATCCTCCTGCGGATGTCACATACCCGGTGGTACCACTGCTGGATCGTTACAGACATCACCATAAAATGATCATTCACAATCGTGCCCCCATTAGACCGGTTCTCTGTGGTGTTTCGCAGGGATCAGTGCTAGGTGCTTAACCTTTTAGCTTCTACATGGCACCATTGGGTATTCTGCTCCAACACCTTGCCTTATCCTACCATTGCTTTGCAGATGATACTCAAATTAATATCCAGTTAGACCGGACTATGCAACGGCTTCTGCGCTATCTGCATCACTAACAGTAGTGAATTCATACTTGCGCTAACACCTTTTGCGACTCAATTCCGACAAGACTGAAGCCATATTCATCGACTCCCCTTTGCATCTTTCTAAAGTTTGTTGGCCTCGTTTGTTGATTGATGGTCACTTTGTCAGTCCCAAAGAAAACCTTGGAGTTCAGTTTGACCAGTCAATGTCCATTGAGGCACATCTATCTAAGGTGCTTAAAATGTCCTTTTTACACCTGAGAAATATCGCCAGAATCCATCGCTTCCTGTCACCTGCTGACTTGGAGAGACTGGTCCATGCTTTTGTGTTGTCCCGACTCGACTACTGCAACCTCTCACTGGTTGGGGATTCCGAGCAAAGTCGTGGGCAGACTCCAGCTTGTTCAGAATGCAGCTGCGAGAGTGCTTACACCACGTACACCGTGAACGTGAGCACATTACGCCGGTACTCTTATCTCTTCATTGGCTGCCAGTCAAATTTCGAGTGAATTTTAGGATACTGCTATGAACCTATAAGGCTTTAAAAGGGCTCACCCCGCATTACTTGCAGGAGCTAACACATTTATAGCTTCCATCAAGGTGCTTAAGATATTCTGATCTCCAACTGCTCAGCACTCCCAGGTCGAGGTTGCGCTCTTTTCGTGATCGGGCTTTTGTAGCGTGGCACCCACAAGCTGTGGAACGCCTCGTCACTTGAATTCGGGCAATCACAGTCGGTAGATCGATTGAAGTCTGCTTTGAAACCCCATCGCTTTCAAGTGGCCTTCCCTCTCTCGCTTGGTCGGTTGCTCCTGGTTCTGTGTTTGCTTCCTGCTCTTCATGCATTGCGCATGGGGATCCTAGGATGGAATGCCGCATTAATAATTTGAATTATTATTTATCCGTGGTGAAGTATGCTCAATCAGCCTCCACGACCCACACGGGGTGGCAGGGGGGGAGGACCTCATCCAGCAGCGGAGTGACAATATAGACGCGTGCGCATTTACTCGTGGGGAAACCTCTCGCAGAGTCTCAAGACTCGAAGGCCGAATGAACCCTGTGAGCCCATCCTTATTGATGGCTTCCACACTCACGGACGTGCTGCTCCCTGCCCCTTGCCCCCGCCACGGCTGCCCCTCGTTGCCCGTGTAGGAGTGCGGCGCGGGACGTGGAGGACTGGGCCTCGGTTGCCGGCCATGCCCCCAGGGCACTTTCTCAGCGGCGGGCACGGCACCGTGCGTGCCCCACGCGGCCTGCGCGGGACGTCTCTCGCGGAGCGAGCGCAAGCGCGGGTCCATGACGGCCGACAGCGAGTGCGGCCCGTGCCTACCCGGGTACGCGCGCGTGTGTGTGTGTTTGTGCGTGCACCTAGCCTGGCACCAGGCACTGGTTGTTACGCTACTGACTGTGGTGCACATCTTACCTGGCCGGGGATGCACGTGTGCGTGTCTGCGTGTCTGCGCCACCAACACGAGTGACGATTATATGAATCGTTTCTGAGCCTCCACTAGGTCGACTCAGCCTCAAATGAGTACCTGGCGCTTTGTGTAAACATCGCCCCTGGGGAGACAAAGGCGTACAGACGTGGTGCTCGCCACTCGCCCGCTCATGTGCCGTGTCGGCCTTCATAGGCGCTCGCTTACAGCACTTGCCTCAATAGCCTGTTAAGGCTCCACGGGAGGTCTTAGTCTTGGTTGGGTGCCGTGTGCGTTCGAGCTGAAGTCGCTGTGCCCGTGCACGTCTCGTGGTGAGGAGCTGGGCTCATCCACGTGGAATGAGCGTCATCAGTGACGCCTCCACACAGCCCAGACGTGTCACGTGTGCACGATTATCACGGTGTCTGGGTCGGGGTGAGGGTAGGGTCGGGGTGAGGGTAGGGTCAGGGCGAGAACGTGGCCACGTGAGGAGGGAAATGGCCCCTTTTGAGTCCCACGTGTAAGCAATGTTACTCGCCACGGGAACAGAACCACGGGGTTCTGTTCTGGTGCGCGTTTCGCAAATACGGATGAGGAGGCATCATCACGACAGCGATGAGTCACCACAATTGTCTGGCTCATCGACCACCGCGATGTAAAGTCACAGTTGTTGCTCCACATCAGCCGTGCGAAGCAGAATTATTTTCTATTAAAGCGTCGAGTGGCGAGCACGTGGCACGGAGCGTGAGGCTGGCGCCCAGTTCATGGGGCCTGAGAGTTCAGCTGATGACCCCCCCCCCCAATTCACGTGGTGCAGGTTCTTCAGTCCTGGGGAGGCAGGAGACGCGAGCCCCCCAGTGCCGTGCTCGCCCTGCAGCGCCGCCCCCGCCGGAACGGCCGCGTGTGACGGTCAGTCCCGTGACCCCTGAACCCCCCCCCCCTCCGCACCACCCCGCACCCCAGCAAAGATCCCCCGTGTAGCCCACACGAGGCTGTCGGGGCAAGTGTTGTTGGCGAGCACCGATGAAAATTGGCACGGCGCACGAATGGGTGGTGTGGCCAGTACTGTACCACACCCGGCCGCCTTTGTCTCCCCAGTGCCGATGTTTACATACTGCACCAGCTACTTGAGGCTGAGTCGACTTCGCGGTGGCTCAGGACCGGTTCTAATATCACTTACGTGCATCTCAAGTTAGCCCTGGCCGGGAATGGAACTTGTGTGGCCGGGCTCGTAGTGCAGTGCGCTAACTGTGGCGCCACCGCTCCCCACAATTCTATCTCACGCACGGACGCGTGTGTTGGTGCGGGGAGGGGAGCGCAGCTGTGAATGTGGAGGGGGGAGGGAGGGGCAGGGGGAAAGGGCGATGCCCTCTGCTGCCCTGGGGGATTTAAGGTTTAGTGGGGAGAGGGGAGTGGGCAGGGGGTGGAGGTGGGGGGAGGGGAGGAGATGGGGTGGGAGGAGGTTGGGGAGAGGAGGAGGTGGGGGGAGGGGAGGAGGTGGAGGGTATGGGAGGAGGTGGTGGGGAGGAGGTGGGGAGAGGGGAGGAGGTGGGGGGGAGGTATGGGACCGCACGGGAAGTGGGGGTGGGAACTGTCGAGTACAGGGAGTGTGAGTCTGTTGGTGCGTCGTATAGCCTGTGTGAATGGTGAGTAGGTGGTGAGTGTGTGGGGCTGTGGTTGAGTGGTGAGTGTGGTCAGATGTGTATTGTACTGCATACACTGTTTGAATGGTCAGTGTGGTGTGTACGTGGTATGAGTGGGTGAGTGAGTTTGACTGCTGAGTGTGAATACATGCCTATACGGTGTGAGCGGTAGTGTGGTGAGTGTGTGTGGTGAGTGTACAGGTGAGTGTGGTGAGTGTGGGGATGTGTGTCTGGAGCTGATATCGCTGCCCGTGGTTTGTGGCTGAACGTGTCACGTGTTGGCAGCCAGAAGCCGTTCGTCCCACACACACACACACAAGTGCCTATTGGCTACTACTGAGTTTGAATTCTTGGGTTCAATCCCAGATTCCACCCAACCCGGCTGTGCCAACACAGCCCGACTGTGTGGACCAAGTCGCCGTGGAACGTGCAAGCTAAGCAGGTTCAAGCCTGTATGGTCGCTCGTCTGCTTCGACCACAGTGCATAACAGGTGCTATAGGCTGCTGCGGGGCTACGGCTGTGGTCAGCAAAGGGCAGTGCGCTACTTCTGTGCCCTTGACCAGCATGGTGAAGTATGGTCGAACAGAGTCGTCAGAGAAGTCACAGACCCTGAGCCGGCCCCACTCAGAGCCTGGGTTCGAATCCAGGTCTCATCCACTGCCCGTGGGTAAGCCGCCTTGTCAGGCAGAGTGAGCTGATGGTCTCAGTCCTGCGAGGAGTGGCTACCATGGAGGGGCACGGACATGCGTAGAGAGAGACCCGTGGGCTCGCATGGAGACGGCACGCACGTTCCATACAGATCCTCCTCAGACTTGCATAGACACGCGCAGTGACCCACAGACACGTGTAGGGACACATAGACACGCGCAGTGACCCACAGACACGTGTAGTGACCCATAGACACGTGTAGGGACACACAGACACGCGCAGTGACCCACAGACACGTGTAGGGACACATCGACACGCGCAGTGACCCACAGACACGCGCAGTGACCCACAGACACGTGTAGGGACACATCGACACGCGCAGTGACCCACAGACACGCGCAGTGACCCACAGACACGTGTAGGGACACATCGACACGCGCAGTGACCCACAGACACGCGCAGTGACCCACAGACACGTGTAGGGACACATCGACACGCGCAGTGACCCACAGACACGCGCAGTGACCCACAGACACGTGTAGGGACACATCGACACGCGCAGTGACCACAGACACGCGCACAATGACCCACAGACACGCGCAGTGACCCACAGACACGTGTAGGGACACATCGACACGCGCAGTGACCCACAGACACGCGCAGTGACCCATAGACACGTGTAGTGACCCACAGACACGTGTAGTGACCCACGGACACGTGTAGTGACCCACAGACACGTGCAGTGACCCACGGACACGTGTAGACCCACATAGACACGTGTAGGGACACATCGACACGTGTAGGGACACATCGACACGTGTAGTGACCCACAGACACGTGTAGTGACCCACAGACACGTGCAGTGACCCACGGACACATGTAGGGACACATCGACACGTGTATGGACACATCGACACGTGTCTACCGAGCTGTGGTGGAGCCGGGTTCTCGAGCATTGCGTCTCGATGGTCTCAGCCCTGACAATAAACCCCCCACCGTGCAGTTTCGTTCTGCACTTACATTTCCACGAAAACTCATCTCCGAGGCCTCAAAATATCGCCTTGATTCGTGTCACACAACGACCATTAAAGTGTCGTGAAACGTGGGGGAGGGGGGGGAGCTGCTCCCGTGCTGTGCGGAACGCGGGCGACTTAAAGGAAAAATCCCAGAGGCAGTTCTAGGATATCCGCTTACACGGCCCTTTTCAAACACGTGTTGCGGTGTTGCGTTGCCCTGTCACATGTGACACGGAGTGATACAATTGTGGACGGAGATTAAATATCTTTAAACAATCATAATGATGATCATCATAATCATCATTCCGAGTGAGTCGTCACCTCGCGGAGTTGAGGACACTGGGGGATGCGTCTGTCATGCGAGCTGTGGCCGCTCTGCGTGCGTGTTTACATGTCCACACGTGTGCGTGTATTGTCCACAAGGCCTCGGTGGAAAGTTGATGTGGTCATCCAAGGTCTCACAAAATCAAGCCAAAAATAAGATAATATATCTCTCTCTGTCTCAGCTGGAGACTCCCGTGAATCACGTGGCTTCTGCGTGGCCACCGCCACTCTAAACCCCTCCCCTCTCCCCCCGCCCCGCCCCCTGTGAAAACAGACGCTGCTCCTTCTTGCAGCAGCAGCGCCGAGACCCTGACGCAGCCTCTTCCCTCGCCCCTCGTCTCTCCTGACCCTTGGCTCCAGTTTCCCCGCTCCTTCCTCATCCCTTCCCCTCTCGCCTCACATTCTTGTCCTCCTCTCTTCCCTCTCCCGAGTTTGATTCCCCCTCATGGTCAAGATCGGTGGCGAATCTCTGATCAGGTCCAGGGCCTCCTCCGAGGTCGAGACAGCCTTCAATGAGCACCTCGTGCGATGGTCAAACATCGGCTGGCAAGAAGACAAAAAACGCGACCGGGAATGGTGCTGTCCACACCACTGCCTCGTGCGCTGTCCCAACCTTCCTAGGTGCTCGCGAACAGCACTTGCCCCAAACGCCTGTTGAAGGCTATGCGGGGGATCTTTGTCTTTGTTGTGTTCCGCGTGTGTTTGTTTACTCCGTGCGTGTGTCTGTGTGTGTCTGTGTGTTTACGGGCCACACGGACGCCCTGTGCCCACCCCTCCCCTCTGAGCTGGTTCCATCTGCACGGCGCTCGCCTCGTCGTTTCCACATGACCGCTCCCCCCGCAGGTCCCTTCTCAATCAACCCCTCTCTGCCCCAAACTCGCTCAGTCCGGCCCGACTTTGTCAACTCCCTCCTCCTCGTCCTCCTGCTCCTCAGATTCAAGTTGACGCGAGCGCGGTAGTTACCGGGTCCAAGGCCACGCAGGGCCCAAGCCTGGACAAGGGGCCCCGGCTTCGTGACACAAACATATGGGCGAAGCAAATATATCAGCTCGAATTCGAATCTGAACAAACATCACAACGTCCGCTTCCCTTGTCCCTCACCTCGCTACATCGCCATTTCTCTTGCCCGGATCTCCCCCGTCGCGCTACGTATCGATCCCCCGTCTCTACATCTCTTGCCATCTCACGGAGAGTTCATTCCACCGAATGGGGAGGGGACCACAAACAGTATCTCTGGGCCAAGCAACTCCACCCGCTCCCTCCCACCTCCCTGCCCCGACTGGTGACCACGTTCATTGTGAGGGGGGCTCTACCAAGTTGGGGAAAGGGGGAGGGCGGCCGTGCCGGCTGTGAACGAGACGAGCCACGACCTTCAACGTTTTGCTGCGTTCCGCAAAAACACACACACAGTGTCATCACATCGTGCCCACGACACACAGTGTGTGTGCCTGTGCGGTCGCGATTGAGGATGAGTCGAGATCCATTGTGGGGGAGGTGGATGAAGGGACGCGGCAGGGTGCCGGGGCAAGTGCTGTGAGCGAGCACCTATTGAGGTCGGAGAGTGCGCAAATGAACCCGCACCCCTCGCGCGGTGCGGGGAGATCCTCATCCAGCAGTGGATTGGGATTGACAAATAGCCGCACACGCTGATTATAATGATGACCGAAGAATCATGATGATGATAGACTAATTGATAATGCTAATGATGATGGATCATGATAGTGGTTTTGGGCTCCTCGGATGTATGTATGTTGAACTTCTTTTGCACAGTACGTAGCCAATCGAAGGTGCGGGGATAATGTTGATGATGAGTTCCTAAAACGACGATGACGACGATGATGAGGGCTCGCTAAGTCACGTGAGCAGGCAGCGTCAAGCCGCCCGCTCCGAGTCCGCGCGCCGCTCAATAATTCACAACCCCCCCTCCCTGCCCGCCCTCCCCGTCGCGCCAGGCGAATGCGTCACGAGCAGAGCACAACCACCTCGAGAACGCCCCCTCATCACACAGCCATCATCGTCGTCGTGGTCGCTTCATCATCTCATCGTCACCTCGTCATCACGCCGCCGTCACATCACCTTCATAATTACACCATCACCACCATCGTGACTTCATCGTCACATCATCATCATCAGTTAGTCAGGCTTCATGATGTTTAATACGTCGTGGTCGTCATCATCATCAAGACCACCGCAATTATAATCATCCATCGCCCATCCACTGCTGCATGAAGGCCACCTGCCCCTCCCCGCTCCACCTCCTCCCCTCCCCACCACCAAGGTCCTGCGATGTCTCATTCCACATCCTGGACACAATACACGGCACCTCCAAATGCCGCAAGCGTAGGAAATGGAATGTGACAATGATTCACTCGTCAATCAAAAGAAGCATCACGTCACGTACACATGTAAGCCCGGTCTCTCCGCATGAGCTAAATAAAAGTCTTTCCTACGCAACCCATCAGCCCCACGGCCTTCTGGGAGTGCGCACTTTCAGCTACGTTGATTCAGCACAAGCAAAAGTGTGGACCGGCCTCGACACCCAGTGTCCCATCAGCAGAGTCAGGCAACGCTTAAAGCAGTGCCGGTGAGCCGCCGAGCGTGCGAGAACTCCGCGTGCCCAACCCAGTGCAGGGTGCGGTGCAATGTGCCGGCTGCTGGGAGCTGCGTCATCACTTAATGCCATCGACGTGCCCGCGACAGCCTGAATGGGGGTTGCTGCTGCTGCTGTCAGCGCGAACGTCCGCGGGTTGGTCATCGTCATCATTATTAGGAGTACGAGTATTGTTGTCGCCACTGTTGTTGTTTTTGTGGCCACTGTTGTTGTTTTTGTTGCTATTATTTCCTCGTCGGCTCCGGCTGCCGTGCGAGCGCTCAGCACGACGGCCGTGGCGCGCCCCACGGGGAGCGCCGCCGCTTGACACGCACGGGAGATGAGGGGCGGGCTGGGGGTAATTACTACCCTGAGAGCCACGTGGCGTGAGCCGGAGTTAATTGTGGTCCACAGAGAGAAAGGGCTTCACCCACACACAATGGGGACTGTGACACGCACAGGTGCTGGGGGAAGTACAGCTCGTGACAGGGTGTCCCGTGGGCCAAAGGGATCAGGAAGGCCAAGAGGTGTTGATGGAAAACAACAGTTGCCATTTCACATCGAGTTCGTTGACCCGGACGACTGCGTTAGGAGGAGTAGTGGAGTGGTGCATCGCTGAGATGCTGAACTGCTGAGATCCTGAGACCGAATCTGGGTTCTGAGTTCGAATCTGGGTTCCAGCCCCTGCCTGCCATTCAACGGGGTTCTCACGTGCGAGTTTATGGTATTTTTATGGTCTGTTGCACTGCCCTCATCTGACTGCCTTGCCTTGCCCTGCCCTTCCCTGCCCTTCCCTGCCACGCAGGAGGGACCACGACATCACCAACAATAATCACTGCCCCGTCGACAGAGGCGGTCGCACGGACGGGGACTCGCGGGGGGAAGCTGCCAGGGCTACAGGACGACCCCGTGGAAGCACCAGGCAGGGCCAGTGGGGAACGGCAACAGCAGACCCATGGCGATGATCGTCATCATCATGATCATCATCATCAGCAGCAAGAGGAAGACGACACGAGCGGCGGGTCAGCCAGCACAGCGGGCACCGAATCCCCGGCCCCACGGGCCCCGGGCCCCGGCGTCCGCACGGCCACGGCGACCCCGCCGGCCTTCCCGACCCCCGAGACATCGGAGAGCGCCGCGGTGGTGGAGGGGAGCCCGCGACCCCTGCCCGACTTCGGCTTCTTCGTGCTGGTGCCGGTGTTTGGGCTCACGGGGCTGCTCGGGGTCCTCGTCTGCCACACGCTCAAGGCGCGCCGGGCCCGCGGCGCCACGGAGAGCGTCGGCGGCGGCGGAGGAGGAGGGGGCGGAGGGGGCTCGGGGCTCGCGGGCGCCGACTGCAAGGAAGGTGAGAGGCCCCCGCGTGGGGGACAGTGCAGTGTGGGCCGCCACCACGGAGGAACTAGCCGAGCCTCTGGAGAGACTCGTCCTCGGCACGGGAATGTGCAATGTAATGCAGTGAAGATGAGTGGGTGGGGGCGGGGAGTCTGTGTTGTGTGGGAAGGGCAGCGATGGGGACCGGCGGGAGAGGGGGGAGGATGGAGGATGGTGGGGGTGGGTGGGTGGGGGGGCCCCGTTCTGTGGACAGCTGTGGGAGGGCAGTGGGGGACTCGGGGGGTTCTTTGAGCAAAAGTTCAAAGGAACTAAACGCTGAGCGGCTGGCAACAAGCAGCACTCTCGGAGGTGGAGTAAATATGTGTTCACACGTTCATTGAAGTGTAGTAGGTGAGTGCGTGAGTGCATCCGGCGCACTCCGTGATGACGAACTGTCGAATGGTTAAATTGGCACCACTGCAACGCAGCAGCAGAAGCAGCAACACCACTTAATTACTGATCAACATCTATTCGGAATACAGGAACGATCAATAGTTATCAATTTTGCGGGGTCTCAAGAAGTGGGGGGGGGGGGGGGGGAGGTGGCGGACGATAGACCCCCCCCGCAGCCCCCCCCCTACCCCCCACCGCCTTTAATGAATTCCGCCGCTGCGCGTCGCGAGGGGACACGGTTCCGCTCCGGGTGTTTGAGACGACCCGACCCTGACCCCGCAGCTTGCTTCCTGCCCACACAGCATCGCGTGGCATCCACAGCCTCCGCACGTGGGCGGCCCTCGCGCGTCCGCTTCGTGTGCAGTCACAGAAAGAGGGACGCTGCTGATCGGCCGACGTAGGAACAACAACAGTAGCAGCAGCCATAGAGATTCCTCTGGGTTCGATTCCCGGCGAGGGTGAACACGCGTGGACCGGTCATGCTGCGCCTCCTCTACGTCGAATCCACCTTAAACGAGTGCCTGGTGCGCTGAGTATCCAACTTGAGCACGAGGGAGACAAAGGGGGTCGGGCGTGGCCCTGGCCACCCCGCCCCCTCGTGCGACTGACTTTGTGGTCATCACAGGTGCTGCTCGCTGCTAGCAGCACTTGCCCCAACAGTCTGTGAAGGCTACTCGGGGGAACTGCTGGTGGGATGTCAGCGGATTTATCAAACGTTCATTGTTGGGTCAAAGACCCCGAATGGGATGAAGCCACTGGGGGTCCCTCTCCACCAAGGCGACCTTCCCAGTGGTTCTGCTCGCATCGCTCATCACTCGTGTGTCGCGCGACCCCTCGCGGTCACAACGTGTAACACACCTTGGGGTGGTTCACGCCCCGCACGTAAAATACGGTACTAATTTTGATCTGACCTCGGGGAGGCCCAAGACATGTCCAGATGCTACAAAGACTGTAGCGGTAAGTGCTGTTGGCCAGCACCTATGATGTAGGCTGCCACAGATCATGAGGAGCTGGTGGCCATCACCTCTCCTGGGTTGCACCTTGATCATGTTTGTTCTGCGACTGCTATTGATGGTGAGATTGATGCTGCTGATGGTGTTGCTGCTGCTGCTGATAATAATCATATGATGATGCCACTGTTGCTGCCGATACTGACGATCAGTACGGTAAAGAGCTTGGAGGCAGGGGGTGCCTCGGCCCTCCCTGGTGGCCAAAGCTACGAGTTGGGCCCCCCTTGATAACCACCATGAGATTTGTTTACAACAACAGTGTAAGAGAACAACAACAACAGTGTAAGAAAACAACAATAACACTTATGTAACGATGTTATTAGGCAAGAGGAGCCGTGATACATCATAGCCGAGGCGCGACCGTGCGAGACGAATCAAATATTGGGGCCCCACCCACCCGGTCATTGCACCCCCTGAGCTGATAACGTCGTTACTACGTCATGGTTGATGTCGTTACTACGCCACGGCTGATGATGCTGGCACTGATGGTGCTGATGTCGTTACTACGCCACGGCTGATGATGCTGACACTGATGGTGCTGATGATGCTTTCCCAGGTGCGAGCTTGCTGCTGCCGACTGCCCAGTACTACGCCGGTAACGAAGACACGATTGGCCAGCTGGTGAAATACTTTCTGCACAAGAACGGTGAGAGACGGAGGTCGAACGCAGCGACGTGGTGTGTGCATTTGTTTGACACATCCCATCAGCTCACGCTGCCTCCTGGAAGTGCACTTTTGTCTCGGCAGCATCGGTTTAATACGAGCAAACTCCCCGCACCGGCGTTGATGTTCGGTGTCTCATAAGCAGGCCCGACTCTGCTGATGCGACACCGCGTGGCGAGAGTCTAGCTGGCATTGGCCAAACCTGGCATTGGCCAGTGGTGAACTTCAGCTGCTAACGACGCATTGCACCTTCGCAACATTGCGACCGTCAACTGCAAAACAAATTTGGCAGGACCCTCTTGATAAATAGTCTTGAGACTCGGCGAGGCTTTCCTGGGTGAACAATCGCAATAATAAAGAACACGTTAAGTCACGTGCCAGTACAGTAGGGGCTGGCACGGATTAATATTAACAATTTGTATTGCATTGTTATTATTGTACGGTATTGTTATAATTGTTATTATTTAGATTATTATTGTTGTTATTGTTTAGGAAACGTGGAGGCTCTGCAAGCCTTGGCCATGGAATGTGGGCGACTGGAGACTACGGACAGCATGGCGAGCGGGTAGGGACCTACAGCTGTCAATCATCTCACATTCACCTGTCAATCATCTCACATTCACCTGTCAATCATCTCACCCACGTGTCTCTCTCGTCTCACCCACGTGTCTCTCTCGTCTCACCCGTGCGTGTTGCACCCCACTAAATTGATTGCGTGCACACACACACACTAATCGTCGAAGCCGTGACTTTGTCCTGGCAAACCCACCTCTCTGTGCGCCGCTTGTTAAGCGATAAACGTCTCCGCGCCCTGATTGATCGACACAGCCACCACATCGTTAACCCATTGTTAGAACCACCACCTGCTTGTTTGATTGGCTAATAACATCGTTCCCCCGTATCCCCCCCCCCAACCACGCAGCTTCTGCTCACCGTCCGAGACTCCGCAGCACTGCCAGCTGTCCCCCCTGCACTCCCCCCCTCCGCATCACCACCACCACCAGCAGCAGCAGCACCAGCAGCAGCAGGCGCCCCCCCCGGGCTGGCTGCACGCGCACACGGTGCACGCCTCGCACTCGCGCTGCGCCTGCACGCGCTGCCGCCACACGCTCTGGACACAGCTGCCCTGGACCCCCTGCCCCCCAATCGGCGCGAGGACGACACCCAGCCGCCAGGGGCGCCCTGCGGACGCCGCGGGTCAGGCCATCGGCAGGTGGGGACGGGGACGGGGGACGGTGGGTGGGGGGGTTCGGGGGGACAGGGGGTGGGGGGGTTCGGGGGGACTGGGGGGGGGAAGGTGGGTGGGGGGGTCGCGGCAGAGAAAGAGTTAACGGGAATGGGGGGACGGAGACGGGTGGGAGAGGGAGGTGAGGGGCAGGAGGGGGGCGGGGGGGCAGGAGGGGGGAGGGGGGCAGTAGGGGGAGGGGGGGCTCCGTGTGTGGGGACTTGTTCAGGTATCATTTGCCAGGAGCTGAATCGAACGCAGGTGGTGGGGTTTTTAGTGTAGTGTATGCGATGACGTGTAATACTAGGGGCCGTGTGTTTGAATATACAGAGAGTGTGTGTGTCATTGTATGGGGTAGTATGTCTGCTGCTGCGTTATCAGAGCATGTGTGTGTGTGGCTAAACAATGTGATTGAGGCCGCTTCAAGTGTCTGTGCGGTCCTGTATAATTGTGTGCGAGTGGGGAGCGGCAGTGTAGTGGTCAGCGCACTGCTCTACGGCCAACGACAGTGACGGATATCTGAACCGGTTCTCAGCCTCCCCTAGGTCGGCTTGGCCTCAAATGAGTATCTGGTGCGATGTGTAATCAACATCAGCTGTGCCGGCCTCGATAGCGGCTTGCTAACAGCACTCGCCCCAACAGCGCGTTCACTTTGACTGGTGAATCTTTGTCTGCGTAGCGTGTGTGTGTGTTGTAGTGTGTGTTGCAGTGTGACTGCGTGTTTGTACGTAGACAGTGTGCATGCCACGCGTTCACCACTCCACGCTGCCCCCGCTCCCGCCGCAGGTTCCGCGTGAGCCAAATCCCCGAGCAGAGGGAGTGGGGGAGCGCGGCCGAGGAGAAGAATCTCCTGGAGATGAGCGACAGCGACGGGGACGACTCGGCGAGCGGCCACATGGCTCTCGACAATCCCGGGGGGCCCGGGGCCCCCCAATCCCACCACCCGCTCCCCCGGGCGCAGACCGACACTAAGCTTTGTTTGTTAGCGTGAGTTGTGGGGGGCTAGAGCCCCCCCCCTCCCCCAACCAACCACAGTTCACGAAACTCAGCTAACTATAACAACAGCCAATTCCTAACCGCATGAAGTATTATCGTGGTGCAGGAGGGAATCGCTGCTGCTACTGCGTCTGTCGCTACACCAGCCTCCCCCCCCCCACTGCCCCAGTATAAGAGTGGGCGAGCGTGTGCGTTAGACCTCTTGTTCATCCGCATCGGCTTTAATAACAGAGGGCACATTTCAGACTCGGGGACGAGTGGTTGGCGGTGCCCCCGCGGTTGAGCCGGCTCCTGCGGTGCGCCGAGTCGATGGCCCACCGCCCGGAGGCCGCCCGTGGGTGGGACGGCGCGGGGCCATGGCGGCACGCCGCACGACCACCGCGCACCGCGTGGCCGTGCGGAAGCTCTTCACAACGGTTCCTATTCCTCCGCCGCGAAGGGCACAACAGCAGCGAGCGTGAGTCTGTGCGCGAGCGAGCGAGCGTGAGTCTGTGCGCGAGCGAGCGAGCGTGAGTCTGTGCGCGAGCGAGCGAGCGTGAGTCTGTGCGCGAGCGAGCGAGCGTGAGTCTGTGCGCGAGCGAGCGAGCGTGAGTCTGTGCGCGAGCGAGCGAGCGTGAGTCTGTGCGCGAGCGAGCGAGCGTGAGTCTGTGCGCGAGCGAGCGAGCGTGAGTCTGTGCGCGAGCGAGCGAGCGTGAGTCTGTGCGCGAGCGAGCGAGCGAGTGGGAGCGTGCTCGGTGATTAGCGCACTGCGCAATGAACCCCGGCGGCCCGAGTTCAATTCCCACTCGCGGCCAATAATGGTGGCAGATATTTTTTAACCTCCTCCGAGGTCGACTCAGCTTTCACTGAGTAGCCTGGTGCAGTGTGTAAACCTTAGTACTGGGGAGACAAAGACGGCCGGGTGTGGTGCTGGCCACCCACTCGACCTCGTGTGCAGTGTCGGACTTGATAGGTGCTGGCTAACAGCGTTTGCCCCCAACGGTCTGTTAAAGGCTATACGGGGGATCTTGATCTTTGCGTGAGTGTGCGTGTGTGTGTGCGCGTGTGCGAGTGAGCGTGGGCTGCAGGACAGACAGGGTTTCACGGGGACATTTTTCCCGAAAAGCCACCGCGTGAACATTCGGAGCACACGTCTCCAGCTCTGAGCAATTCGCATTTCAGTTTGGGTCTCCGTGCGATGGTCACTGGCGCCACTGTCGTCAGTGAGAGGGGGCACCGCCGCCGAGTTTGTGGATCAGAGGCAGCCGAACGGGCCTCGGAAGCGGTTCCGTGATATCACCTTCCACGGGCCGCTCTCCGACCGTCACACAGCTCACAGCTAGAGGTCCAAATGAACATTTCTGTCTTCGCGATGGCGCTCGGCACAGTGAAGCTACCCATTGCGTTAAGTTGCGGTTGTGGTCGGCCGCGTCAGACAGCTGAAGTGAAAATATTAATTTGGTGGGGAACTCACTCCAGAAAGTTGGGGTTGATCTTCTCTTGAGTTGTCTTTGTGCAGCTGACCACCACACGCAGAGAGGGGCAGCCGATGCAGATGGACTCTCCACAAATCGTGGAGCCATCCCGAGGGCACGATCCTCCTCCGCCCCCCACTTAAGCTGACTGGTTTACACGCACGCAGGGCTTAATCTCATGGAATACAGCCAGGGCCCCCCAACTCCCGGATCCCACCCCGCCAACCCCCCCCCCGCCCCCCCTCGACAATTAATATCTTCTGAACTTCAGCCCTGGGCAGCTCCGACTGAGATTAATCTCTCTGCATGTGAATCTAGTGTAGGTAAGACAGCCTTATGCGTAGTATTTATAAACTAGCATTATTCCTCCTACTACAATGTTTATTTAATAGTTTTATTATCACTATGGTTGCGTGTTGATATTATATTTATTGCCGTCTTGGCCGCTCGTGACGTTCCTGGTTGGTTGGAGCCACTTCCCCGCCCCGGGTTCTGGCGTGAGCATGGCCAGTGGGCGACTCAATCCACCCCCTCTGACGGTACACGACTCACGTCCACACGACCCGCGTGCACACGGGGTGGGGGGGGGGGGCGACGAAACTCAGGAACCGTGGCCAATTGAGGACCATTCACAGGCGGGCCCTTTGTTAATCCACTGCTGGATGGCCATCCTTCACCGCATTGGACAGCAGCGGTGCGTGTTTTGGGTTAAGGTTGGAGAAGCGGAGCGCAAAACTGCGTCAGATCTCACCCGTTCGCCACTCGCCAATGTTGGCCGCAGTCCGGAGTCGAACCCGTGCTGCAGCTGGATGCGAAGTGCAGTGTGCTAACCGCCGCGCCACTGCTCTCGGCGTATATAATTTGGTTATTGAATATACGAGCGGATTTGTGCTGCGGAGATCAATGCAGACGCGTTGGGGGGGGGGAGATCATTCGAGCGCCCTGGGCGCAACGGGTCGAGCGAGACTCCAAAGCAAAGCGGTGCCACTTCAGCAGCGCCACTTCAGCAGCGCCATCACCGTCAGCCGTGATTCATCCACTGCTAGACGAGTGCCTCGCCAAGCAAGTCGCTCGTAGCTCGAGGAACTGCCGCAATCGACGGCACAGATGCAAACGTTTCCCGAGTTGTATCCGCACCCGGCACCAGAAGGTGGGCCATGACGCTCAATCAACGCCGAGCCGTGCTGTGGTGGCGCTTTGGATGGCAAGGGTTGGTGGATCACACGGAGATGTGTGAAGCTCCCATACTACGCTGGGCTGCGGGATTGTTGACCACAAGGTGGCAGCCACACCACGTGGGTTCATGAACCCATCTGTGCGGAGTGTTTTGGCTGTCGCATAGTCGCTACGTGCGTGGGCGGGCAGTCTCCGTGTTCTCCCCGTTTCATCTCCCACACTGAGAATGTAACTCTCGCCAATAACGGAATTGGCCAAACATCCCGACAAAGCACGACCCTCTTGAAAACAACAGAGTCACGGGACTCTCGTGGGTAAATAAAGGGCATTATAGTTCAGTAGATATAACACAAACATGGGCACAATACCGATCCGCAAAGCGACGAAAATTGGTGGGTGGCTGGTGTGAAGGGGAGTCGAGGCGGGGCGGGGGGCTCACTAACTCCTGCCCCCCACCCCCACTCTCCTCTCCATCATCTCCCGGCTCCCTGCCCCCCTCCCGTAATTTGATTTCCCCGTCGGCTTCAGTGCCTGCTTGACCTTTCATCTCGGCGGTGCAGCGGAATGTCGAGACATCCATCTCGGCATAAGAGGAGGTCACGCGCGCGCTCCTGGGCACACAGGGACGACGCGGGGACTCGTCTCTCCCGATAGCTGATCAACGGAAATGTCAACCGTGTGTCCGGACAGGATGCAGAGAATATTGCGAATGTAAGAGCAGCAGTATGATGAAGAGGTGGGGGAGCGGTGTGATATTGTTATCTAGGTGATGAGGGCCATGCCCCCCCCCCTCCTCCCTTCATCCCTTACACCCCCCACCCCCCATTGCTCCATTCGTACTGCACTTAGATGAATGGAGTCGTTACAAAATACCGGGGGGCTGCCCCCCCCCCCCGCCTCCTTCGCTAGAATTTAATTGCCTCAATCTCCATCTGTTTATTTATGCGCATGGGGTTCTGTGTATGCATGTGCCCATGCTTAAATCTGTGTGTGTCTGTCTTGTGTGAGTCTGTCTTATGTGTGTCTATGTGTGTCTGTCTTTTTGGTCTCTGTGTGCGTGTGTGTGTCGGTGTGCGTGTGTGTGTCGGTGTACGTTTGTGTGTGTGTACGTGTGTGTCAACCAACGTGTGTGTGTGTGTGTACCAGTCGGAGGATGTACCGATGTATGTGTGTGTGAGTGTATCAATGTACGACTATAGTACTTTAATAATCCACTGCTGGATGAAGGCCTCCCCACGCCATGTTGGTCACATGGGTTGTGTGATCATACCTCACCACGCTGGGAGATGCGGGTTGGTGAAGCGGGGAGTGGAGCGGGGCACGACCGGTTCGGATTATGACTCGCCACTCATGTCAGCCGTGGCCGGGATTCGAACTCAGGTGGCCGGATTAGTAATGCAGCGCGCAAGTGTGTGTGCCTCTTTACCGAGGTAATGATGTGTTGACCTGCATACGTTGTTAGTACCTGTCTGTGTAAGTATTATATCTGCGTGCTGACACCTATTGTGCACCAATATGTGTGTATGTACCCCTGTGCTGGGTCACGTAGCCCGCATGCCCAGCCACCGCATGCCCAAGAAGCTTAAGTTTGGCCGCATAGAGGGGGCTAAACGGGCTGGAGCAGAGATGGAGTGATGCGGTACGGGAGGATGTGGAGCTGAGTGGACTTGCCGATGACTGGTACCAGCGGTGTCAATATCGGCCTCGATGGAGGAGGCTCGTGAAGGACGCTACTGGTCAGTTGGAGGCAGTCGCCCTCCAGCAACAACGGAGGGCGGAGGAGCGACGCTCACAACAACGAGCGGAGCGCCCGGCGGCTAAAATATAGCAAGTTGGCACAGTAGGGGTAAAGCTGGTGCATCTACCAGTCATCTCAGACAGCCAACCTATGGCACCTGGGTCTGTCCCGAGACCACCTGCCAGCGAGCCTTCGACACTTCACGTGTCCTCTAAGGGGCACCTAGCCTGGCACAGGCGCCGTGGTGACGTCACTGTCACTCAGTGGCTAATGACGCGGGGTATTGGTACTGGTGTTTGTGTGCATCTAACAATGCAGTGCGCGCGCCAAGTCTGTGTCTATTCCCATGTTGATGAGTGTATCTACCCATGTCTGTATGTACCCATGTGTGTATGTACCCATGTCTCTGCGTGTACGTACAGCCGCGCGTGTGTGCGCGTGTATGTCACGTGTGTATAGCAATACGTATAGCGAAACTGTTACTTGAAAATGTTACGTCCCCCCCTTCCCCCGCGCAGGGGGGCTAAAGGGGGGCGGGACCCCCTAATTTAAACCTGTGGAGTGGAGAGAGAGCGGACAGGCGGTGTGAGATCGCTGAAGTGCAGAGTAATAAATACAGTTCTGTGTTTCTCTTTCGAGCCTCCCGTGTCCTGTCTCTCTCTGGACCGCGAGTACACGCGCGTCCGCACACCACGACTGCCCGACTGCCCAGATTCACAAGATTATCACGATTATCAGACGCTCCGTAAAGGAAGCCGCACCCTCCCCCACCACCCCAGAGTTGCTATACAAAGTAAACATTTGACTAATTTGGTATCATTTGCAACGCACGGACACCCCATATTATCAGACGCTACCCCGATCACATGGACAAGTGCGTCTTATAATCCAGAAAGTAAAGTAACCCTTCACCCCTAACCTTTAACGTAACTAACTCTAGACCAAGGGTCAGCAACCAAAACAGCAAGAATAATTGTATTTGTAATTCTGTAGAACAACCATTAATATTTCAAGAGCCGCAATGCGTTGTGAATGTGAGCCGGTCCTGAATAGAAACACCATCACGTGACAGTCTTCAAGAGCCGCCGGCTGCCGACCCCTGACCGAGACCCACCTCGACTCGAACCCTGAACCTCGAAACACGGTCCACCGACCCCTGCTCTCGACCCTAACAGCAGCCGTGCCGCGGTGGTTATGCGCTGGCTATGTGCGTGGCTATGCGGTGGCTATGCGCTGGCTATGTGTGTGGCTATGCGGTGGCTATGCGGTGGCTATGTACTGGCTATGTGCAGGCTATGCGGTGGCTATGCGGTGGCTATGTGCAGGCTATGTGCAGGCTATGCGCTGGCTATGCGCTGGCTATACGGTGGTTATGCGGTGGCTATGTGCAGGCTATGCGCTGGCTATGCGCTGGCTATGCGGTGGCTATACGGTGGCTATGTGCAGGATATGCGCTGGCTATGCGCTGGCTATACGGTGGCTATACGGTGGCTATGTGCAGGCTATGCGCTGGCTATGCGCTGGCTATGCGGTGGCTATACGGTGGCTATGTGCAGGCTATGCGCTGGCTATGCGCTGGCTATATGGTGGCTATGCGGTGGCTATGTGCAGGATATGCGCTGGCTATGCGCTGGCTATGCGGTGGCTATATGGTGGCTATGCGCTGGCTATGCGCTGGCTATGTGTGTGGCTATACGGTGGCTATGCGGTGGCTATGTGCAGGCTATGTGCAGGCTATGCGCTGGCTATGCGCTGGCTATGCGGTGGCTATGCGCTGGCTATGCGGTGGCTATGCGCTGGCTATGCGCGTGGCTATGCGCTGGCTATGCGCGTGGCTATGTGCTGGCTATGCGCTGGCTATGTGGTGGCTATGCGCTGGCTATGCGGTGGCTATGCGCTGGCTATGCGGTGGCTATGCGGTGGCTATGTGCTGGCTATGTGCGTGGCCCCAGCAGCAGCCCAGAGCTCTGGGCACAGCCACGGGTGGAGGGGAGCAGCCACCCGAGTTCGATTCCCGCTCGCGGCCACCAGCACCGGTGACGATTGTCTGAAACGCTCCTGGGCCTCCCCTAGGTCGACTCAGGCCTCAAATGAGCACCTGGCGTAATGTGTAAACATCGCCACTGGGGAGACGAAGGCGGCCCGGCGTGGTGGTGGCCACCCACCCCCTCGCGCGCCGCCCTTCCTCGGTGCTCCTCGCAAACAGCGCTTGCCCCAACAGTCCGAGGCAACACGCGAGGTCTTCGTCTTTAGTCGCTGTGATGGCAGTCGCAGTCGTGGTTATGGTTGTAGTAATGGTCATGGTGCGGAGGATGGCGGTGGCATTATTGTTCTGGTCGTGGTGGTAGTGGTAAGGACGGTGGTGGTGGTTGTGTTGGTTGTGGTTGTTGTGGTGAGTACAATTCGCGGTTGCCAGTGCACTACCGAGCCACGAAAGCAGAGGGCGGAAGAGCCGAGATCAGAACAATCTGAAAAATCACTTCGGTGCACTGCCCTCTGCCGAGTTCATAAACACGACCGCATCGCTGCACATTCGTCAACAACAATATAGGTGACGCTTCGGGTAATGGCTCGTCTTCATCAGATACAAATAGACAGGCCGGCACAAACGGCGCTCACTAAGATATACAGAGTCGATACGAGTCAATACGCGTATTCAACTGAGCAAGGATGTAAGGTACAAGTCGAACGGCAGATCGTTGTGAAGTCACCGATGTAAGGATCGTCACTTTGTGAAGTGACAAGGGGTGCCACGTCACTTGGGGTGCACTTTGTGAAGTGACAAGGCGTGCTCACGTCACTTGGGGTGCACTTTGTGAAGTGACAAGGGGTGATCATCGTCACTTGGGGTGCACTTTGAGAAGTGACAAGGGGTGATCATCGTCACTTGGGGTGCACTTTGAGAAGTGACAAGGGGTGCCACGTCACGTGGGGTGCACTTTGTGAAGTGACAAGGGGGGATCATCGTCACTTGGGGTGCACTTTGAGAAGTGACAAGGGGTGATCATCGTCACTTGGGGTGCACTTTGAGAAGTGACAAGGGGTGCTCTCGTCACGTGGGGTGCACTTTGAGAAGTGACAAGGGGTGCTCACGTCACTTGGGGTGCACTTTGAGAAGTGACAAGGGGTGCCACGTCACTTGGGGTGCACTTTGTGAAGTGACAAGGGGTGATCATCGTCACTTGGGGTGCACTTTGAGAAGTGACAAGGGGTGCTCATCGTCACTTGGGGTGCACTTTGAGAAGTGACAAGGGGTGCTCATCGTCACTTTGTGAAGTGACAAGGGGTGCCACGTCACTTGGGGTGCACTTTGTGAAGTGACAAGGGGTGCCACGTCACTTGGGGTGCACTTTGAGAAGTGACAAGGGGTGCTCATCGTCACTTGGGGTGCGCTTTGAGAAAGTGCCGCCGAGGTCCTCTTAACCCCAGGCGGGTTGTCAGCGTGTCCTTGCGTCAGCTCTACCTCTGTTGATGTGTTATGAATAAGAGGCATTGCCCGAAACGTCGCATATTACGCGAGCGCGCATTCTGCGTGTTGCCCTTGTGTGGGTTCACTTTCCCATATCCCCTCGCGTTACTGAAACCTTATCCCTCACCCAACCGAGCCCCGAACACCATCATCAGTATACCTACCACCAATACCAACCCTATCCCTAATACTCGCCATGACGGTAACCCAAACCAATCCCTAACCCCAGCTCCATCCTATACCGAACCATATCAACTCGCACTCACCCGATCCCTCACCCCAAACACGAATCATACGCCCTAACCCTAATCACATACCTTATCTAAACTCCTAAAGCTAACCCTATTCCGCACGCCAACCATATCGCTAACTCAAAGTCTAATCCTTTTTACTCACCCTGTCCTCATTCTGAACCACTTCGCCACCAGTTGTGAAGAATGTAGACAGACCCACGTGGTGCACGTGGGGGCGCTGTATGAGTCCATGGGTCTCTGTGTGAGTCTATGGGTCTCCGTGTCAGTATATGGGTCTCTGTGTCAGTCTATGGGTCTCTGTGTCAGTCTATGGGTCTCTGTGTGAGTCTATGGGTCTCCGTGTCAGTATATGGGTCTCTGTGTCAGTCTATGGGTCTCTGTGTCAGTCTATGGGTCTCTGTGTGAGTCTATGGGTCTCCGTGTCAGTATATGGGTCTACGTGTCAGTCTATGGGTCTCTGTGTCAGTCTATGGGTCTCTGTGTCAGTCTATGGGTCTCTGTGTCAGTCTATGGGTCTCTGTGTCAGTCTATGGGTCTCTGTGTCAGTCTATGGGTCTCTGTGTCAGTCTATGGGTCTCTGTGTCAGTCTATGGGTCTCTGTGTCAGTCTATGGGTCTCTGTGTCAGTATATGGGTCTCTGTGTCAGTATATGGGTCTACGTGTCAGTCTATGGGTCTCTGTGTCAGTCTATGGGTCTCTGTGTCAGTCTATGGGTCTCTGTGTCAGTCTATGGGTCTCTGTGTCAGTCTATGGGTCTCTGTGTCAGTCTATGGGTCTCTGTGTCAGTCTATGGGTCTCTGTGTCAGTCTATGGGTCTCTGTTCAGTATATGGGTGTCTGTGTCAGTCTATGGGTCTCTGTGTCAGTCTATGGGTCTCTGTGTCAGTATATGGGTGTCTGTGTCAGTCTATGGGTCTCTGTGTCAGTCTATGGGTCTCTGTGTCAGTCTATGGGTCTACGTGTCAGTCTATGGGTCTCTGTGTCAGTCTATGGGTGTCTTTGTAAGTTTGTGTATCTTTGTACGTCTCTGAGTCATGGGGTCTCTATGTAAGTACAGTAAATGTTGACGTAAGTCTTTGGGTTATTGCGAAATGTCATGGGGTCATTATGTAATTATGTGGTCTTTATGTAAGTCAATACGTCTACGGGTCTCTGTGTAAGGCTGTGGTAATCGGCGTCACGGCCGTAATCGACTTGTGTGGAGTTAGTGGCCACATCCTAACGACTGCAATAAAACAGCTGAGGCTTTCACTGCATGTAAACACCACCACCACCACCATCACCACCATCACCACCATCACCATCACCACCATCACCACCACCACCATCACCACCACCACCACCATCACCACCACCATCACCACCACCATCACCACCATCACCACCACCACCATCACCACCACCATCACCACCATCACCACCACCATCACCACCACCACCATCACCACCATCACCACCACCACCATCACCACCATCACCACCACCATCACCACCATCACCACCACCACCATCACCACCATCACCACCACCATCACCATCATCACCATCACCACCACCATCACCACCACCATCACCACCACCACCATCACCACCATCACCACCACCATCACCACCACCACCATCACCACCACCATCACCATCATCACCATCACCACCACCATCACCACCACCATCACCACCACCATCACCACCACCACCATCACCACCACCATCACCACCACCATCACCACCATCACCACCACCATCACCACCATCACCACCACCATCACCACCATCACCACGCTGACGCATCACGCCGGTGTCCCGCTGCGCCCTGTCACACACGCGCGCGTGTATTTGTGAGGAGCGGTGGCGCAGTGGTTAGCGCGCTGCGCTACGAACCCGGCCGCCCGAGTTCGATCCCCACTCACAGCAGAGGCGGACATCTGAATCGGTCAGAGGCCTCCTGGAGGACTCGGCCTCAAATGAGTGCCTGATGCGGGGAGACAAAGGCGGCCGGGAAGTGGTGTGAGCCACCTCCTCGATATGCCGTGCCAGCCCTCTTCGTACGTGCCGCTCACTCACAGCACTTGCCCCAGCGCTCTGGTGAAGGCTACGCGGGGCACCTTTGTCTTTGCAGCTCCGCGAGCTCAGGGCGGTGGCTTGGCACCACGTGCTCCGCCCGAGCCCCTCCCCCTTTCCACCCCTCCCCCCTCCTCCTCTCCGCCCCGCCCCCCTCCCCCGTCCCCGCCCGGGAAGCGCGCAGCGGCGATCGCTTCGCGGGTCCGTCTCGCGCTCAGCGCCCTTCTCCTCCTCCTCCTCCGTCTCCTCCTCCTTCTCCTCCTCCTCTCACTCCTCTGTCTCTCGCAGCAGCAGCACAAGGCGATTCAGCAGCAGCAGCAGCATCATCAGCATCATCATCAGCAGCAGCATCATCAGCAGCAGCAGCATCAGCAGCAGAAGGAGCAGCAGCAGCAGAAGGAACAACAAAGCTGATCGCCCCCGATGGAGGCTCGCCAGTGTGATGCTCTCTGAGCTGAGCCGAGTTCAGCCCGAGTCTGGGGCCCCCCACGATTCAGCATCAGCGTCATCATGCAGCCCCCCCCGCGGAAGGTAAGATGAGCCCAGCCGGGGGTCCCGGGGATGATGATGATGGTTATTGGGGGGGGGGGGGGGGTGCATGGAGTAAGAGTCAGCAGCAGCATCAGCTGTGTTGTGGTCCCGCAATGCACGAGACCACGTTTGTCTTTCGCGTTTATTTAAACAACAAACAACCACAACAACAAGGATACACATCTACATCCCGTCAGCCACACGACCCTTTTGGGAGGTCATCTTCGTCATCATCAACGTTGGTTAAACCCGGGGGGGAAGTCGTCTGGACCGGCCTTGCTGGAGCCAATGTGGGACGTATCAACTTGATAGACGCACATTGTGGGCCGGTTTCGACACTCGGTGTCTCATCAGCAGCGCCAGGCTTGCTCGAGCTGGCGAACGAGGCGATGTTCATGGGCAAGGAGCCCCCCCCCCCCGCCCTCTCTTTAAGATAGGGGGCCCCCCTCGCTCCACTGCTACTCTACTACATTACACAATGCTCGCTGGTGGTCGCTGTCACTTGTTTGGGATGAGGCCCAGAAAGGTCGAAACCAGGCCACAGCGTGCCTGCTGTTCCTGCGGCTGGATGCTCGTGGTCTGGAAGGCCAACACGGGCTGATGGACTGAGTCGTGTTTGTATGGGGGCGGTTTGACCATACTTCACCACGCTGGTCATGCCGTGATTATGCAGAATCCGTGCCCTTTAGCCGCTCGTAGAATCACCATCGATGCGAGTGTGGTGGAGCCGGGATGATGATGATGAGGTGCTGCTGCTGGGGGGGGGGGGAGAGTTGGCGTCTCACTCTGACGGCGTGGTTAGGGGAGCAGCAGCAGCTGTTGTTGTGGGAGTGGTGGTGAAGTTGTGGACATTTTGTGGAGGTTGTTGTTGTTGGTGGTGTTGTTTTTGTTGGAGTCACGGGGGTTGATGGGGAGAGTGAAGTGGTGGGTGACTGGGATGGGGGGGGTGGGCAATGTGAGGACACAGATGCAGAGATGATTGATGGGTCCCAAACGTTGGATTGTTATTAATCGTAATTCTCCATCCACTGCTGCTGATGTGCGGGCCAACTCCATACTTCACCACGCTGGTCGAGCATAGGAGTTCAGTACAGTAGCGGAGTTTTTTTTTGCCACGCTACCCTCTGCTGCCCACGTGGTAGCCACGCAAGCGCCTGCGACAGCCTCTGCGTGGTGATCGCATTCCAAGCGCTATCTATGCTTAGCTTCTGACGTTATCGCTCGCCACTGATGTTAGCCGTGTACGGGAATCTAACTCAGGTCTCCGGGTGCTAACCACTGCACTACCGCTGCCCCTTAATCTACGATCCCGTAATAATTATACTCAGCAGGTGATCTGCTTCTGCGTCCTCTTGAGGTGTGAACATGCGTGGCAGACAGGAAGTGGTGCTTGTGGTGGTGCTCCTGATGATGCTGGTGGTGGTTGTGGAGGTGGTGTTGATGATGATGCTGTTGGTGGTGGTGCTACTGATGATGCTGTTGGTGTTGATGATGATGATGCTGCTGGTGGTGATGATGCTGGTGGTGGTGCTGGTGGTGGTGGTGCTACTGATGATGCTGCTGATGATGCTGCTGGTGGTGGTGGTGCTACTGATGATGATGCTGGTGGTGCTGATGATGATGATGTTGGTGGTGGTGCTGATGATGATGTTGGTGGTGGTGGTGCTGATGATGATGATGCTGCTGGTGGTGGTGGTGCTGATCATGATGCTGGTGGTGCTGATGATGATGTTGGTGGTGGTGCTGATGATGATGATGCTGCTGCTGATGATGATGATGCTGGTGGTGGTGCTGCTGATGCTGGTGGTGGTGGTGCTGCTGATGCTGCGGCTGGTGGTGGTGATGCTGATGATGATGCTGGTGGTGGTGGTGCTGATGATGATGCTGGTGGTGGTGCTGATGATGATGATGTTGGTGCTGCTGATGATGCTGTTGGTGCTGAAGATGGTGCTGCCGCTGTAGCTGATGGTTGTTGTGTTGATGTTTACAATATCGACACGTGGGAGTAGTGACACTCACATTGTGTTGACGTCGCACACACTCGGCAGTGATGGTGATGATGCTGGTGGCAGCACTGCTACAGAGACCACGTTGAGTAATAATAATACATCGTGAGGTGTCGTAATGACAGCAGTGGTCCTCACACAGTCATGAAGCTAAGCGTGGTGACGTCCAGCAGTTGTCCAGGAAAGCTTCGTGGCGTCTGCGAACTCTTGACCACGAGGGATCCCGCTTCATTCCTTTAGAATTATAATGTAAATACAACTCACAACATTGGTGATTAACGCTGTGCGGTGTGCAAACATCAGCACTGGGGAGACAAAGGGCGTAGTGCTGGCCACGCCACCGGCTCGTATGCCATGCCGGCTTCAATAGGTGCTCGCTAACAGCACTTGCCCCAACAGCCTGTTGACGGCTATGCGGGGAATCTTTGGCTTTGTCTCATCCATTGTTTACATTCCTAAAACAAATAGAGGAACACGCGTGCGCTCGTGCGCTGCGTTTGGGATAGGGCCGATGCCATCGGTTTAACGGTTAAATAAGAAATTCAGTGCACACACGCACGCACGCACACACGGGTTTTATTTTCACCGTGTGGAGGCTGGCTATACAGGGGATATTCATCTTGTAGTGGTGGCAGCAGTGATGGTGGTGGTGTTGGTAGTGCCGCTCGCTCGTGGCGTTGATGGTGGTGGCGCTGATGGTGGTGGTGGCGCTGATGGTGGTGGCGGCGCTGATGGTGGTGGCGATGAGTGGTGGTGGCGCTGGTGGTGATGGTGCTATTGGTGGTGTTTGTGACACGCTCTGGTGTTGTGGTGCAGGCGAAGGTGACGCAGGAGGTGCGGTGCGCGCAGACAGAGCAGCTTGCGCGGCTCACGGCCAAACACCAGCAGGAGAGCGACCTCCTGGAGGACATCCGGTGAGACGTGCACGCGTGTCTGTTCGTACGTGCGTGTACGGATGTGTACGTGTGTGTGTACGAGTGTATGTGCGTGTGTGTACATGTGTGTGGGGAGCGCTGGTGCGGTCGTGAGCACACTGCTCTATGAACCTGGTGACCAGAGTTCGATTCCCGCTCGCAGCGTCGGTGAAGATGATCTGATTATCTGAACCTGTCCTGGGCCTCCGCTTGGTCGACCCAACCTTAATGACATTCGTACCTGATTGCGGTGTGTCTAAAACATCAGCACTGGGGATACAAAGGCAGGCGGGTGTGGTGCAAAGCAGGCCGCCGTGCCGTGCGCCGTGCCGTGCGCCGTGCCGGCCTTCGGAGGTGCTACTCGCTCATGGCACTTGTCCCAAAAGTCTCGCAAGTGGATCGGGGCAGCGATGATGTGTGTTATTGTTGTCGTGCGTGTGCGTGCGCATTCGGGCGTGCCAGCTGGTCACAAGGCTGGCTCTGTGTTGGCGCCGAGCGATATTTAATTCCTGTGAGAGCGCTGCTCTGTGTGCCCGTGCGCGTTCGGTTGACACGGCGCGTCGCTGCACAAGCTGGCACGGCCTCGAGACACAACGCAACACGAAGTGGAACCACGGCGCAGCACGGCCTGACACACAGCCTACACACACAGCCTACACACACAGCCTACACACACAGCCTACACACATAGCCTTTACACACACAGCCTACACACACAGCCTGACACATACAGCCTACACACACACAGCCTACACACACAGCCTATACACACAAAGCCACTACACACACACAGCCTACACACACAGCCTGACACACACAGCCTGACACACACAGCCTACACACACAGCCTATACACACAAAGCCTCTACACACACAGCCTCTACACACACAGCCTACACACACAGCCTACACACACAGCCTGACACACACAGCCTGACACACACAGCCTGACACACACAGCCTACACACGCAGCCTCTACACACACACAGCCTACACACACAGCCTACACACACAGCCTACACACACAGCCTGACACACACAGTCTATACACACAGCCTGACACACACAGCCTGACACACACAGCCTACACACACACAGCCTCTACACATACACAGCCTACACACACAGCCTACACACACAGCCGCTACACACACAGCCTCTACACACACAGCCTACACACACAGCCTGACACACACACAGCCTACACACACAGCCTACACACACAGCCTACACACACAGCATGACACACACAGCCTACACACACACAGCCTACACACACACAGCCTACACACACAGCCTACACACACAGCTTGACACACACAGCCTACACACACAGCCTACACACACAGCCTACACACACAGCCTACACACACACAGCCTACACACACACAGCCTACACACACAGCCTACACACACAGCCTACACACACAGCATGACACACACAGCCTACACACACACAGCCTACACACACACAGCCTACACACACAGCCTACACACACAGCCTGACACACACAGCCTACACACACAGCCTGACACACACAGCCTACACACACAGCCACTACACACACAGCCACTACACACAGCCACTACACACACAGCCACTACACATCACCTGACACACAGCCGATAAAATCACTACCACTTTGTGGGGAGATCAACTGTGGGTTGTCTTTTGAATAGCCCCCCCCCCCCACCTTAGGAACGGGGAATTTCCACCGCCGGCTCAGCGCCGCGAACGGGAGATAAGCGCCGTCTCGATGGCCGTCACCAGCCGGTGTGCGCTGATGCGCTCGACTTGGTGGAGCGCGCGGGTCGCTGGCTCTTTGGACGCTGCTGCGCCGGACGGGGAGGGGGGTCACGCTCTGCTTGGAGCTCGCCTCGTGTTTACCGGCGATGTCGTAGACCCCGGGGCTTGCGTCACGCGAACTGCGGGTTTGGGAAATTGCGACCACGTAGACGAAAGTGAGGTCATCCTTGCGCCACGAATCCGTGCGGATTCCAGCCGTGGGCTGGGGGCCGGGGGGCTCGGAGGGCTGGGTGGGTGGCGGCTCCCACCGGGACGGTGCATGGAATGTTCGTTCATTACAAACAGTCAGGGGCTGATCTCATCTGGGATTAAATCATTTCAGATCTTTCTCAAATCACACAATTGGGATTTGTAGCCAGTAAACCTGAGAATGTTGGTCCCAACGTCAAACCAACGTTGGCGTTTTGGATCTGTGACCTGTGCTGCTGCCACGGCCCACGCGGTGTGGGGTCGCCGTCATCCAGCAGTGGATTAACAAGAGGCGTTGTGCTGGGTGACGGGGCTTGATTGTGCTACGTGCCACCAGCAGCAGCGGCAGTAGTAGCGGCATCCCTCTCTAAACAGCCTCGCGATCGCTGCTGCTGGGAGTCGTCAAACGACCCACTGTCACTACGACCTAATGACCGAGTGAGTGACCCAGTGAGCGACTGGGCGAGTGGGCGGATGGGCGGATGGGCAGCAGAGCTGACTCGACAGCATGTTCTCGTTTTTTAAAGAATCTGAAAAATTCCTGGCAGGAAGCCACCAGCTGGAGGATGCGTGATCCATCGCCGCGTGTTTACTCTGCAGTGCAGTGTGACTCCGTCCACCAACCACCCACCAACCACCAACCAATCACTCATCAACCACCAATAACCACCAACCGAACACAATTCAAGCACCAACCAAACACCATTCAACCACCAACCAAACACCAACCAATCACTACCCAAACACCAATAACGACCAATAAAACGCTCACCATCCACAATCAAAACACTTCACAGTCCACCACGGGCTTGATGAGGGCACGGAGCGTTAACTCCGTCGCACTCCACTTGGCACGGCCGCCGTCGTGAGCTGGTGGCGGTGAGCGGACACCTGAGCGCACACCTGAGCGCGCGCTCGCCCGCGCGCTTCGCCTGCGCGTCGACGCGTGTGACTGGGCACGATGGTCACGCAGTCGGCGTGCTGTGAATAAGGCCTCGATACACTGTGCGTGTTTACACGTTCCACGGTGTAGGTGTACGTGAGTGTATACGTGTGTACACATTTACGTGAACGTGCGTGTGTGTATGTACGATATATCAACGTTACTTGACACCTTCAACACCTTGCAAACGATCCGTGTGCAAGGTGACCTGTTTGCAAGGGGCTTTCAAGGTGAAATATTTCCTTTAAATAAATAATAAAACTACCGCGTGGTGGTTTATGATGGTAGGGTGGTGGGGGGGAGGGGTCGGGGGGGGGGAGGAGTCGGTCCGGGCGGCCTGACCCCGAGGGCGGACAGCGTGGGCCACTGTTCGTGCCGAGTGTCGCGCTGGACTTTGGCCCAGGGCCAGGAGGAGACGAGGTGCAGGAGGATAGCGAGACATTGAGCGTCTGCGTGTGTGTGGTCGTGAGTCCTGGTGATGCGTCCCAGGGTTAAGGGTCGTGCCGTGCATGTCATCCGGCGCAAGGTCCGACGTTTGGCTTCCCCGCGTCGGCAGCTTCGTCGTGGTCGAGGAAGCCGCTGGCATGTGGAGCGACGCTTTGGACGTCGCGTCGAACAGCGGCAGCTCATCCCACGAGAAAACCTGCGCAGGAGCGCCCCCGAATCTGTTCACGCAGTGCCGAGCAAAGGTGGCACAGTCCCGATAGCCTGGGTTGGACTCTAGGCCACGGCTACCACGAGCTGGCGCTGGTCGCTGGCCCTGTCCTGGGTAGTGGCGCAACTCTCGAGTGTGAAGTTGGTGCAACTGCACCGGGGCCCATGCCAACCACGCTACACCCCGAGCCCTACTCCTCCCTTTGTCTGAGTGCGTAGAGTTCGCCAAATCCATGGCAGCCTTAAGAGGCGCTCGCTCGCAGCTCTTGCCAGTACAGGCTGCACCTGCAGGCGTTGCGGGTGGACTTGCGTCACCAGCCTTGGCGATACGGCGCCACCGCGTGGACCTTGAACGTCGATCGTGAACTCTCTCCCATGATAAGGGACCCCCGTCCACGTCTCCGCCCCCACCCCCCTCCCGCCCCCCTCTCCTTTTTTCCGCACTTCCCCCCCCCACCCCCATTCGCATTCCTCGGCGGGGTTGCCGCTGGCCCCGTCGTGACGATTGTGTTTATTTTGGGACGGTTAAGGCGGTGGCCACGTGCGACCACCGCCCGCGTTCCGAGTGCTGGGCTCGCGCTGGTGATGTCACGGCCAGGAGCTGTCTGCTCTCACCGCAGTGTTCGGGGCTCCCGGTGTCTGCGTTGGTGTCGATTTCTCGGTAAAAGTTTTATGGAACCGCACCGCCCCCGCTACTACACGGCGGATTAAATCGACACGCGTGGATTCTCACCGGACGGTGGGGGGGGGAGCCCAGGGTGGAACCAGTGATGGAGTGGCAGCCGCGGGGCTGGCCACACGGGGAGATGCTGGAGGGTTCCCAGGGTGTCTTTGACGTCTCGGCCTACTCGTGCCTTTGACACTTGCAGTCGCTGCCCTTGTGAATCTCGCTACCTCGTCAAATCTCCCCACTCGTCTGGGCCACCATTGAAAAGGAGCCCCTTGGCTCCACGAGCATGTGCGTCGCCCCACAGTGAGCTCACTGCCGAGCGAGAGAGAGAAAGATGTGTTGTCCCCATGGCGATGTTTCAAGTGGTCCGCAGGGCCCCGCACCGCTTCAGCCCGGCTGCCCCCGAGTCCTCCATCCTGCCAGATGAGCTGATATCGAGGATGGCCCAAAAGTCATGGCACACAGGGTTATTATATTCATTTTAACAAATGGTCAAACTAACTTCGATTGGCATTAATGCATGCATGTACGTACCATTTATCTTTTGAAATGAATTTAATATTTTTTTCGAATATTACAGCAGCTTTCTTTAGCGTGCATAACGAATTAAATTCGTTTTTAGGCAAACTAAGGGGGCAAGTTTCTTCAATGCCGCCCTCCCAGCCCCCCCCACCTCTCCCCCCCCAGCAGCACGGATGGGTGACAGCACAGTTGTTGTGTGATGGACGGGTTGTGTGTGGTGGGGCAAATTGTGGGTGACTCCCACCTCGTCCAGAACGTGGCAGGGTAGGGCCCAACACCATCTGGTGGGACCCCCAGAGCTTCATCTCGTGGGGGTCTCAGCAGGGGTGGGGGTCCCAGCAGTGGGTAGGTGGTGGGTAGGTGGTGGGTGGATGGTGCGTGTGTGGGTGGTGTGTGGGTGGTGCGTGGGTGGGTAGGTTGTGCGTGTGTAGGTGGGTGGTGCGCTGCGTGGGTGGTGCGCTGCCGTGGCAGTTTGTGGAGTTCAATTTGTTCCTCTCGGTCCGCAGGTCGTTCTGCAAGCAGCGGGCAGCCATCGAGAAGGATTATGGACAGGTAAGGCCACCTGTATGCACACACACACACATATCTGTATGCACACACACACATATCTGTATGCACACACACCTGTCAAAAAACAAAGACAAAGATCCCCCGTGTAACCTGTAACAGACTAATCTAGATTTGCCCCAACAGTCTGTTACAGACTGTCGGGGCAAGTGCTTTTAGCGAGCACCTATGAAGGCCGGGATGGCACACGAACGAGGGGGTGGGTGGCCAACACCACGCCCGGCCGCCTTTGTCTCCCCAGTGCCGATGTTTACACATCGCACCAGGTACTTATTTGAGGCCGAGTCGACCTAGGGGAGGCCCAGGACCGGTTCAGATAATCGTCACCGGTGTTGGCCGTGAGCGGGAATCAAACCCGTAGCGCAACGCGCTAACCGCTACACTACCGCTCTCCACACACACACAGACACACACCTCTACGCACACCAGGGTGTGCCACTCACTGCATATGAAAAGAAGTCTCAGTGTTGTAGGTTGTCTCCCTCCTCCCAGTTTGTTACACCTGAGAATCTCATTCGACTCTCTTCGTAGTCACAGAGCCCTCAGAGTCCCCCCTTCTCCTCCTCTTCTCTGCGTCTGTGCCTCTACACTGTGACTGTACGTATATTGAGTAGAACCCTACTACTCACCTACTCACTCACCTACTCGCTCACCTACTCGCTCACCTACTCACCTACTCACTCGCCCACTCACCTACCCAGAATCAGAATCTTTGTTTAGACGGGAGGAATCCGATGAGCTATGAAGCTCTTTTCCACAGATGCCCAGTGTGGGCGGCGGGTCACCTGAGAGGGCCGCCTGCTGCTCCTCTGCGTCTGTGCTGTCTATCGACTTTGATCTCCGCTCCATTGGGCGCCCCGTCAACATTGAGGGATCGTCTCGGTTTAACCGGCAAACAAATACAACCGGGAGGCATGGACCTTGAAAATAACAAACTTGACTTTTAAATGGCACCCTAATGTCCACACCTGCGTGTACGCACGCCTGTCTGAACACACGCCTGCGTGTACGCACGCCTGCGTGTACGCACGCCTGCGTGTACGCACGCCTGCGTGTACACACGCCTGCGTGTACGCACGCCTGCGTGTACGCACGCCTGCGTGTACGCACGCCTGCCCAACACCCTCCCTCCTCACTCCCTCCGATGTGGATCCGCGCTTGCCGTGCACCGCTTGCTGACCGCACGGACCACTTGTTGCACGCATGATGGTGGCTTGCGTCATAGTAACGTGGAATTTCTACCGCTGGATCGAGGCCTCTTTCTTCTTATTATTTTGTTCCCAAATGTGCGCTACAAGGACGGCCAGAACGGGGGCCCCTTGCAATGACACGATCGGCGTGAGCTGTGTGCGTGTGTCAATTTGTGTCTGACCGTCAAAGCTGGGGAGCGGTCAGCGTAGCGGTCAGCTCACCGCACTCCGAACCCAGTGACCCGAGTTCCATTCCCGCTCTACGCACAGAAGCTCCTCCCCTCTGGCAGACCCGCCGAGGTTCGGCGAGGCCCGGGACCGGGAGGCCCAAGAGGGCCGCCTTTGTTGTGGGGCCCTCTGTGGTGTAAGACACGGGGGTCAAATTGCCCCGGCCCCCACCTCTGGGTGGCCCTTCTCACACGTGTTCGTGTCTTAGCTCGTCTGTCTTAGGTTTTGTTGGCACCGTGGTTGCGAGTTTAAACTCGGACGTCACACTGAGATGGCACAGCCTCTGATGGCCGTCTTCTCGGCTCTAGCTGGGCCCTGGCTGGGCCCTGGCTCGGGTCAGGTTCGGCTGTGGTTGGGCTCGGGCTCGGCTCCTGGTAAAACCCACCGGCTCAAGTCTTGAGCTGAGCTGTGACTAAGAAGAAGGGGCCTTAGTGTCTCATCATCATCATCGTCATGGTCATCATTTGTGTGAGATGTTTATGTTTTGTGACAATGCTGTGTGTTCTGTGTAATGAGAAGTGGCCAAACAGTTGAGCACAGTCGTTTATTTGCCGAAGCTGAGGTTTTGGTGTAAATGTGTGGTGTGTGTACACAAAGGGTGTACTAAAGTGTGATTGCGTAGATACAATCGCTAAAATTCCACACACGTAAAACACACACACGTAAACACACCAGAACACACACACATTAACACACACATACAGACACACACAGACACACACATAAACCACAGACAACAACAACCGCCGTTCGCCAATAAGTGGCGGTGACGTCACCACAACGCTTGTGCCAGGCTATGTGCACCTTGAGGCACATGAAGTGTCGAACGCCCGTTGGCAGGTCACGGGACAGACCCAGGTGCCACGGGTCGACTGACTGAGATGACTGGCCGATGCACCACCTGTACCCCTACTGTGCCAACTTGCTGTGCTTTAGCCACCCGGTGCTCCACTCATTGTTGTCAGCGTCGCTCCTCCCCCCTCCGTTGTTGGAGGGCGACTGCCTCCAACCACCCAGTAGCGTCCTTTACGAGCCTCCTCCAGAGGCCGATCTTGACACTGCTGGTACCAGTCATCGGCCAGTCCACTCAGCTCCCCATCCTCCTGTACCTGTGCCGTGCTCGTTCAGCCCCCGCTATCCGGCTGAACAAAATCTGTTTAGGCATGCGGTGGCTGGGCATGCAGACTACATTACCCAGTCAACGCAGCCTTGCCTGCCGGAGGAGCTCACACAATCCAGCCTGGTTAAACCCACGATGGATCGTAGGCAGGCCAGCCTAAATGTTTCTAACCGGCGAAGATGTTCCATTAGGGGGTCCACGTTTCGCAAGCATGGAGAAGGGAGAGAATGACTGGCCGAGAAGACCTGGAGTTGCGTGCGAAGTGACAGACCAGGTAGCTTCCACACAGCGTTACGCAACCGATGAAAAGAAAATGCCGCTCGACTGATTCGGAGTGAGACCTCTGGTCACACACACTGCAGCACACACACACACTGCAGAACCCACACACACTGCAGCACACACACACACTGCAGCACACACACACACTGCACCACACACACTGCAGCACACACTGTACTCGGCGTGCCACAGTCTCCCCCCCCCCCCCCCCCGCGGGGCCAGGAACTGAGCAATGCGCCGTGGCTGCCAAGGAGCGAGGGCCCCGCGACTCGGGCGTGAGATGCTCTTCAACCGCCCCCCAGAATCACGTCAACATGCCATCTACTGCTTTAATGTGGAGATATTTTTATATTTCTGCGGTCAAAATACTATTGCATCAATGACTCACCCCGTGGAAATATTACTGTCCCCTTCGGGGGGTCAGAAAGAAGGGCCGGGGTGCAAACTCGATGGCAGCAATATGACCCCCCCCACCACCCCCCACCACCCCCCGCCCTCCACCTATCCCCCACCACCCCCCACCCTCCCACCTCCCCGCCCCCCTTGGGCAGATTCCTCTCCAGTGTACGGATGTCTACCCAAGGCTAATCACAACTTTGTTCCAATGGCCGTATAACTAAATGTGCAAATGCCAATAGGCCAACCCCACCACAGTCACGCTACCACACACAGAGGGGGGGGGGTCACGCTACCACACAGAGGGGGGGGGGTCACGCTACCACACGGGGGGGGGGGGTCACGCTACCACACAGAGGGGGGGGGGGTCACGCTACCACACAGAGGGGGGGGGTCACGCTACCACACAGGGGGGGGGGTCACGCTACCACACAGAGGGGGGGGGGGTCACGCTACCACACAGAGGGGGGGGGGGCACGCTACCACACAGAGGGGGGGGGGTAACACTACCACACAGAGGGGGGGTCACACAAGGACACCTACACCTGTCTCTCTACCTCCACCGGTCTCTCTCTCGGTCTCTACCCAACATGTTGGCTCGGCCGTGCGGTTTGAAATCTCCCTTAGCAAGCGGTCGGACGTGGGACAACATTGTGTGTACTGTGTGTGTGTACCGTGTGTGTGTACCGTGTGTGTGTACCGTGTGTGTGTACTCTGTGTGTGTGTACTGTGTGTCTACTGTGTGTGTATGTGTACTGTGTGTGTGCTGTGTGTATACTGTGTGTGTGTACTGTGTGCATTGTGTATGTGTACTGTGTGTGTGTACTGTGTGTGTGTACTGTGTGTGTGCTGTGTATGTACTGTCTGTACTGTGTGTGTGTACTGTGTACATTGTGTATGTGTACTGTGTGTGTGTACTGTGTGTGTACTGTGTGCACAGTATGTGTGCTGTGTGTGTACCGTCTGTAGTGTACGCGCTGCTTGGCAGCTTTCTCCTTGTGCAGTGCATTGTGGGTTGGATGACCGTGCGTTCCATGTTACGCGGTTTTGCTTTGCATGCCCTCTTGTTTGAAATGTATTTACCGTATAAAGTGAGGGAGACCTGCTTCCACTATAGTACTTTGACCCCCGGGTGAACATCTTGTACGTAAACTGTGCTATCTGGCACCCGCAGTGGCCCAGCAGTTTACCGCTTGCTGTAGAGGTTCAGGGTTCGAATCCAGCGGCCGCCCTGGTTAATACTATGGTGTGTGATTACAGCAATAACACTACGTGCCGTCCCCTTCACTCGCAGCGGGCGTTAAAGATCCTGTGACGTCACTCACAAGAGAGTAGGGCCATTGTGTGCGCTGGCGTCACGGTCCACGTTTGCCAAATTAGTAGAATAACGCCGCAAGTTACTTAACGTCGCGACCGTCACCCCCAACCATGAAACGGAGCCTCCTGAGTCCTGAGACTCGGTGAGGCATCCTGGCTGAACAAGCCCCGCAGGGCCCAGCTCCGTGGCATCGCGGGCCGTCGGTTGGCAGGCCGTGGGTCGCGGGTTGCTGGCGATCAACGTCACCGCTGCCGCTGCTGGTGTTTGTTTAGAGTCGGGGCGAGCGTCGTCGCCCGCCTACTTGCGGTTTCCTCTCCGGAGCGTTCACATCCTGCTGCCACTGCGAGGTGGCGGTGGTCGGGCGGTGTAAGGCAGGGGGCGGAGGGGTTCTTTTAGCAGACGACCGGGTGGTGGCGGCGGTGGTGTACCCCCCTGGTCACGCTGTGTGACG